TACTCCTGCTTAACGCTCAGCAAATTAGGAGTGGGACGACTGGTTCGCCCGTTGTCAGTATAATGTGACCGGGTGGGGCGTCCTGCTGGGTGTCTTCGGCAGTATGTCTCAGTGAGGTAGCACTATAAAGTCGGCATCAGTTCCGCGCTATCACAAGGAGACAAACACGAACATATCGCAGCCTCCCAAAATACACACACATACACTACACGCATGCATCTTGCACATAGGGGAGGCCGTCCTTAAATGACCTTAGCTGTTAATAGGACGTTAAACAAAATCAAACAAACAAACAAACAAATTGTAGACTAAAAGTTTCCAACATGTTGTGTAGAAAAAAGATCTTGGTCTGCATTCTGTTGTTGTTCCTTGTTAATTTTTCATCAATATGGAAACAATTTTACAGTGTAAAATTAATCAGGAATCGATTGTAAAATTAATCAGGAATAGATAAAAAGCACAAGTGAAGATTGGCTGTAAATTCAAATTGAGATGATGAGAAGCAAACGATTATTTGGATATAATTAAAGAACCACTTCACTGTGGCATTAATTATTGATTCTTGAATTTGTAAGTTTTAATGAATCATGTTGTAGTTTCAAGTGAAGATTTCAATAACACAAGGCAAAGTATAGACAGCAATCCATAGTCATCCATCTCCACATGGTCCTTGGTATCAACAAGAAGATTTTAAATGAGCTCCCAAGTATTAGGAAATGACTTAGACCGTACAAAGACAATTTCTATAACATTTCAGCTAATTGATTCAGCAGAATTTCAGTTAATGGTATAAACAAACATTTTCAAGATGGCTACCATGATGACTTATTAAATTTCCAATCAACTCCAAATTAACAATATTTGGTTCCAAAATATGAATTTGGATGGACCATGCACAATAAAATTTGAGTTCAAAATAGATATTCAAGATAGCTTGCCTTTTAGATTTGCTATGGACTCCAAATTAACAAAACTTGGTCTGGACCACACACTGATTATTTGCATAAAATTTCAGCAAAATTGCTTCAGTAGAATTTTAGTTCAAATTAAAAATTAAATATATTTCAAACTGGCTGCTGTGTGGTGTGGCCATATAAGATTTCAAATTGGCTCCAGTTCAATATAAAAAGAACTTGGTTACTAAGATTATTCCCAATATGTTTCAATAGAATTTTAGTTATAGTTTAAAATGCAGTAAAGGTTAACCATTGCCAGACAACACACAATGGATGACAGACAAATGGATAGCAGTAGCTTACAGGATTTTCATGTGAGCTAGAAACTAAAAAAGTCTTGTTTAAGAACATAGCATAGCTCGTCTATTCATGATATATTTTAAGTTAGTAAATATCAATAGCAATACATGTATCTTAACATATTGTAGGTTGTTAAACTGAATTATTTTAGTATCATTTTTTGGAGATGTACAATATAGGTAACCATACAAAATATGGGCTACAGTGAAGTTAGTGTCATATAGATGTATATCCGAATATTATATTACAATAAAAGAGATTTGCAATTAATATATAGTAAATGAAATCTTTGAAATATGCATGGCATTATAAAATGATCCACACCAAGTTGAATTTTAAGAAAACCCTTTTGGCCCCTAGAATAATGGATCAGCATATTGGTTGCACTCTCTATATAAATGCCCGAATCTTGTAATATTCAGCAGCTAATGAGTGTGGTGATCCACCACTGCACAAAAACACTTTCTCAAAAACTTTAACCCAAGTCCAAATAAGCTGTTTTTGGCCCCTAAATATGACAAAAGATCCTAGCGCCCACCAGCAAAAGTTGGTTCTCTGATCAGTCTCATAACTAGATATGAATAACCAGGGACCATGGGGAACTATATGTGAAATATGAATAGATCCTTCTAGTATTTTCAGAGAAATAGCACTAACAATCTTGAACTCTCACAAAATTCAAGATGGTCACCTGTCGGCAATCCAATTTAGGATTAGTTTAGTGATATATTTTTTGTTTGTAATGAGATTAACCAGGCCTACCTGACAAAAATATTAACTTATCAAAACATTAATTTTTGATAAAGTTATCCAATTAAATTATCTAATTGTCCAGTTCAAATTATTACTTATTGTTACTGTCAAATTAGGAAACCATGTGTGCCATTTATAATTTTGGTGTCAAAAAGATCATTCAGGTTATCGAAACAATATGGACGCCATGTGTAGTATGCTATCTCACTATCTATATTAACTTATCTTGTTGTCTCAGAAATGACGTCAAGTTGATATAAGCTTCTCATAAAGCTTACTTATTTCAAGCATTGAAATTTGATGGTTAAAAACAATGCAGCACAGGTAGCTAGGTCAGTAGACATTTTTTTTCTGAAAGCTACTTTCTGTACTTCTGTGTTTGCATTTCCTTTTTTTTGGTGTAATTGTTTGGTCACATATGAATATCAAACAAGAGGCCCAAGGGCCTTAGCGGTCACCTGAGTTATATCATAGATACTGGTAGCTTTATTTTATTGTTTAGATGTGATGTGGAAATCAGCATGTAAACTAAGTGAAATACAATACTTGTCATGTCATCAATGGATAAGAATTTGAAAATATTGGTAAATGTTTCCTTTGGGGCCCCGCTCTAGCCCCTGGGGATGGGGCAGGAATCCTAATTTTACAAAGTAAAACTCTCATTTACCCAAGATGATTCTGACTAAGTTTGAGCAATTTTCTGCTGAAAATATATAAAATATATACCGAAAAGTGTTATTTCCCTATATAAACTATATTAAACGTTAACCCCTCCCCAAGGGAGAACGGATAGCTCGGGGTCCTGATATTTTCAATTTAAATAAAGCCCCTGATGATCTTTCTTTCCACGTAAAGAAAATCACTGTAGTACCTCTGAGTCTGGAGAAGAAGATTTTTGAAATATTGATTAATTTTCCCTTTGGGGCCCCGCCCTGGCCCCAGGGGTCGGGGTAGGAATCTCAATTTTACAATTTGAAACCATCTACCTCCAAGGATAATTCTCACCAAGTAAAAATAATTTCCTACAGAAAGTTGTCAAAATATACCCAAAAGTGTTATTTCCCTATATAAACTATAGTAAACTTTACCCCCTCCCCAAGGGAGAACGGATAGCTCGGGGGTCCTGAAATTTACAATTTAAGTAAAGCCCCTGATGATCTTTCTTTCCACGTAGAGAAAATCACTGTAGTACCTCTGAGTCTGGAGAAGAAGATTTTTGAAATATTGATTAATTTTCCCTTTGGGGCCCCGCCCTGGCCCCAGGGGTCGGGGTAGGAATCTCAATTTTACAATTTGAAACCATCTACCTCCAAGGATAATTCTCACCAAGTAAAAATAATTTCCTACAGAAAGTTGTCAAAATATACCCAAAAGTGTTATTTCCCTATATAAACTATAGTAAACTTTACCCCCTCCCCAAGGGAGAACGGATAGCTCGGGGGTCCTGAAATTTACAATTTAAGTAAAGCCCCTGATGATCTTTCTTTCCACGTAGAGAAAATCACTGTAGTACCTCTGAGTCTGGAGAAGAAGATTTTTGAAATATTGATTAATTTTCCCTTTGGGGCCCCGCCCTGGCCCCAGGGGTCGGGGTAGGAATCTCAATTTTACAATTTGAAACCATCTACCTCCAAGGATAATTCTCACCAAGTAAAAATAATTTCCTACAGAAAGTTGTCAAAATATACCCAAAAGTGTTATTTCCCTATATAAACTATAGTAAACTTTACCCCCTCCCCAAGGGAGAACGGATAGCTCGGGGGTCCTGAAATTTACAATTTAAGTAAAGCCCCTGATGATCTTTCTTTCCACGTAGAGAAAATCACTGTAGTACCTGTGAGTCTGGAGAAGAAGATTTTTGAAATATTGGATAATTTTCCCTTTGGGGCCCCGCCCTGGCCCCAGGGGTGGGGGTAGGAATCCCAATTTTACAATTTTGAAGCCTCATCTACCAAGGATGATTCTGACCAAGTTTGAAAAAAATCCATCCACTGGTTCTTGAGAAGAAGTTGAAAATGTAAAAGTTTACGCACGACGCACGACGGACGACGGACGACGACGGACGAAAAGCGATTGGAATAGGTCACTTGAGCAAAGCTGAGGTGACCTAAAAATAGATTGAAGCCTGGAGAATTAACAGATATCACTAATGAGACGAATTACACATAGGTAACTCTGGTCTAATGTTTCACACCTATAGGTACCGGTAGTTCACAACCCCACAGGTAAATCTACCTGCAGGGCAGAGATCGTCGATCAGGGTATCGCTCCTAGAGAACCATAACAAGAGCAACATGAGCGGAAGCATGATACGCCCGTCAGACCCTCAGAAGGGTATTGATATATTGGAAGCAGGTAGTGACATATAATATAATTGTGTTTACTGCTAACGTTTTGTTGGTTACTGTGACCTTGCCATTCATTTACTGTGTTCATGGTGCAAACTATTTTGTGTTTCAGAATACACTTTTGTGGTCAATGTTGCTATTACTAAAACTAGAACTTTGGCTTTGAGGTAGGAGTCTTGAACTACAATTTGCTATGTCAAGTGTGATATGCCAAAACGCTAAAAATTAAACTCGACAGAAAAACCCGTTATATATGTTGAATATTATTGCTTCTAGCAGCTACCGTACAAAATTTGAAAGCAATTAATGGAAAAAGTTCTTTCGCTTACTACACAACACCCTTATTTGGCAATAGAAGGGACATAACTCCACGAAAAATGCACATAAACTTCTGAAATATGAACTCGTTTGAGCTATATTGATAGGGGTATCACAATACGCCAAGAGTGTATCACCATAATCATATATTGCAATACAGAATGAATATATTGCTATACGCATCCCGATATATTGTCATAGGAAGGATGTGCTCAATTTGATAATAAGTTGTTGTCAGAATGTTATCAAACTTAATCATATATAATATGGATCACATAGATTAAAGATTTTTGTCAAACCAACCATCATCGATTACAAAATTTGACCTATGAAAAGCCTGCTTTATGCTTATTAGCATATCTGTTAGAATTTGAAGTAATTTGCAAAGTTAAAACACCAAGCAGATTCATAAAAATATGCTTTTGAAAAATATTGCTGAACCTTTATACCCATGAATTGCGATATACCTGTTTTCTGATATATAGTGACAGCCCTATATATTACAATGCAATATGTGAACCAAGTTTCATCAAGATATGTTCATGAATGAAGGCAGGAGAGCGGTGACAAGGAAACGTAAACGGATGGACGGACAATGCAGCCCATACCATAACACGACCCGTAAGACAACAGGCGTATTAAAAGCTAGATTTAATCAAGAAGGGGAGAAGAGGTTATCAATGTTGTGAGAATTTGATGTTTCCGTCGTTTTTGTGTCGTTATATATACATCTCAATGAGTAACGGCCAAATGCATGCTTAAGAGTAAAGTAATGATGCATAGCGGCTCAAAATTCATGCATAACAGTACCTTAATGCTAAAATAGCCTGGGGAGAACACTGAAATTGCTTCAATTAATATGACGTGATTACCCTTTTTGGCTCTGCACCTCAGCCCTTGGGTTCATCCCCCTCCCATTTTGTTTAAATTTGAATTTCTCACACCTAGGATTTTGCCAGTTGCAATCATTGAAATACCACACAGTAGTAAAGAAAAAGAAATTGTTTCAAAAAATCTTCGACGACTTGATGCTTAGTATGCATAAGCTCAAATTGTTCGCAAGACCAGAAGCACTAACGAGAGTATTACCTGAGGTGCCTGTGATGATGGTTTAGGTGCAGAAACAGTACTGGTTTGAGCTGCTCCAGAAGGGACTGCCCCTGTGATAGGTTGAGTTGTAACAGGTGGCTTTACATCCCCAGATTCAGGCATCTTGCTGCCTTCTGGTGTAGACATCTACTTTATATCCTACAAAAAAAAACAATGGAATTTATTCATCAAGCCACTTTATTCTTACGGTTTGAAAATTTATAAGAATGGGAAAAAGTGAATTAAGATATTCTTTTCATTTTCATTAATAACCATTATATTTCATTGAATGGAGCAAATACTCTATTTCTTTTAAGTGAATGCTATGAAAGGTATTTACCCGATACCTTTCATGAAGAAATAAGACTCAGGAAACTAGAAACATTCTACATATGTATTAACATTTTATATGGGTATGTAGACATGTAATTGAATTGACAAACCATATCGCCAATAATGCATGCATGAATTTTAATGTCCTATCAACAGCTAAGGTCATTTAAGGATATGCCTTGATGTGTGTAATATATGTGTGCTTGTGTGTATGTGTGCTGTGGAGGCAGGGTATGCAAGTGTTTTCGCCTCATTGCAATAGCACAGATCTGATGCCAACTTTACAGTGCTAACTCACTGAAATACCATGCCTAAGGCACAATAGTATTCCGCCTGGTTACATTATACTGACAATTCTAACAGTTAAACCAGTTGCTACGATTGGAACAACTTCCATTTTTAGGGACTTTTGTTTGTCCCCATCCTCAATACTTAAGGGGCTACACTCCCTTTCGCTCTCTTCACCTCTGGAATATGTCATAGCAAAACTTAAGGCACAGGGCTAGCTATTTGATTGGTACAATGTAAAAATAATCCTGACCAATCGCTAGGCTGATACATGTCCCTTGAAGATGACAGAGGAGCAACACCTGACTTCAAAGCCAGTCAATAAACTGCTATGTGACTGATAGATTCTTTTGATGTATATCAAATGATCAAACTAGTGATCTCGTCTCATCCACAAGGTGGTGTACACTAAGCCTTCAATTTTACTTTGACATATTTCTCGGGTGCAGAGTCAACCACAGTGAACATAACCCCTGAGTATCGAGGATGGTTTGTCCCTGTCTCAGAAACAACACATTGCCTTCTTCACATGCAACACTAAGACCAAAATGGTGTACGCTTGGCAAGGGGATACCCAAACCTGGGTTGTAAATAGTTGTCTTTGGGGGCAAAGACTTATGAAAAGGACGGAGGCAATTTTTTCATCTGTTACAATTTAAATACAACTTATGGTGTTATTTTAATTTAAAAATTAACTATCTGTAGACAAAAATGATACGTGGCTATGTATTTTTTGGCTTCATCAATGTTATAACTGAACTGTTGACACATTTGTTGGTTAAGAGGTATTTTTGCAGAAATTGATCCAATTTGGGTCCTCCCTTCTTAGACTTAGTTATTTTTCAACCCATATTTCTACAATTACTGTCAATTGCAAGTTATTTGAGAGACATATCGCATGAATGTAAATTGGGTTGCATTACATATAGCCTAAATTATTAACAAAATAATAATGCGCAAAAAATACAATACAATGTTTTTATGAAATTTAACTATGTACCGGCAGTAGAAATCAGCTCTCAGGGTATTTCCAAATGTAAACAGAGGTACCATAGCAGGTGTGGTGCTGCTTTTAAGAGTTATACCACACTGTAAAACGTTTGTAAGTGTATGAATCAACTTACGGTAATTTGTGTTAAATATCGGAAATGGGAGCTATCTGATAATCAAAGTAACCAGTTGTAGGTCGTGTTCGAGGAAGTCCCGCTATCTCTTGTTCTCCATTGCACATGGGGATATGGAAAAAGCGCATGCGCAATGATTTTGGCTTGCCGGTTTGCGATGAGAAATAGTTTTAACAAAGATAATACGTTTTTCTTACAGATTCAAACATTTCTTCTACATAGAACAATTTTTGATGAATTAGAAAAAGGATTCTCACTTTAAGTTTACTTTTTTGAACTTCAACTTTACCATGTGATTTTGTTGACCAATCATGTACGACCAACTTTGATATTGGACGTAGTCGTCATTTGTGCGTGTGAAACCATCGAAGTTTATGTCGAATATACCTAGGATAATTTCCGAATTTGATGTAGAGATTAGTCTAAAACTTTCATGATTACTAACATGTAGTTCGCATCTTCTAAAACTTCTTAATTTCTGGGAAATAAGGATATTTTGAAATAGGTCAAAATCATGTGACGCGTATTGACCAATGAAATTGTCGCATTTTCAATTTTGGGTATATAAACTATTTAGTCGCCGGGATGGTTGGTAATGTTATTGACGGATGATAATGGAGCCTTGCTGAATCTAGCGGATAGAATGGTCTTGAAGAGCCATCCGACACTGCAAAGGTTTCAGCAGAATGCCCCGGCCAACAGTTCAGGGTACTTAGTGTAAATTTTTGATTTTCAGTGTCTCTGGAACTCGTTGCAATGGCTCTAAAAACGTGACTAGTACACTCTTGTGCAATGCCGCCATTGTAGAATACAGTTTCGCATTTGGGCTCCGTGGATTTTCACGAAAATAATCCTAGATATCGTTAAGAATTATAATTATTATTGACCCAAACATAGTTCGAACATCTATGAATCCGCTGTCATTAAAACAGCACACGAAATTATGAAATTAAAGCTCTATTTTATAATAAACATCGTTCATTGTAACGGAAGTACAGTATGAAAGGGTCCTGAACATCGGCAGTATCGTCGATACGACCGAACGTTTGAATGGCACACTAGCAAGTTTTGAGTAGTGCTCGAGACTACGAGTACTATATTTATTGTTTTTATGCATTAAAGCCTATTGAATGTGTCCATTTATTATTGCAATATTTGCTGTTGATCTTTCATTGAAGTTGCACGAGACTCGCCATTGCATTACAAGTTCCGGAACCACGTGAGATGCTCTTTCTGATTCATAAGCATATGATGCTTTGTGTAAAGAATCGTGCTTATTTTAAACAGCTTAGTTGAAACATGCTTTGGATAACTTTGTTTGTGTTTAGTCGTGTAATAGTTCTGAAAAGAAATGGGGGAGGGCTGATGGTGCTGCTGTGTATGGTTAATCTTAATTTAATACAATACAGTATTTTGGAGGTCTATTTCGGTATTTTCCCATTATAAAAAACTAATTGGAGTTCATTTTGTAGATGAATATTGATGGAGAGGAAGTTGTAGTTGAGTGAAATTGGGTCAAACTCTCAACAAAATCAGATTGTACAGTGCAGTTAGATAAAATAGGTACCTTGTCCACAAGGAAATGTTTGCGTGTACCAAATTTGGTTCTGTTCAGAGAAATCCTGATGTGCAGACTTCATACCATGCAGATTTCCAACAATGTGGCAGCAGTATGTTTACATTCGCTTCATATATTACAAACAGGTGTTTTGGTGTAATGACATCTGCTGATCACAGGTAGCAATGTCCTATTAGTCTTCGGTAGAGCATGTTTGATGCTGAGCAAATGATTGGAGGAAACTTGCAGGCCATTGTCAATATTACTTGTTTAATGTGGATTTTTACCAATCTGGCAGTGTTGCGGTACATTGAATATGTAAATGCAGTATCTAAACGCCACGCAATGATGTGCCATAAATAGGTATCAACAATGTTCGTGTATATTTTGGCATTATTTTACCTTAAGTTACTAGAAGTAATTCCCAGATCATCGGTTATCTTAGGCTTTGAAGAAAGTAACGACTCAAGAGGTAGAGGTCAGGTTGACAGTTTCAAAATTTTCTTGTGCAAATTAAGGGCAGATCTGGTTATGTAGAACCTAGCCAGAGTTTCCTTTGGCCCTAACACCAGACTTGAACATTTTGACAGATGTCTGGTGTGGGGCCAGAGCGCACTGCTATATGAAAACATGGAATTATCCGACACCGTTTGGTATCTGCAAGTTATGAGGTGCTGACAACGAAAATTTACGAGTCTATGACAATTTGCATATATCGATAAATGGATTATTTATTCATCCAAATCAGATCTTATAATCGCCAACAGCTTTTTGTAGGTCATGGGGTAACTAATCAACAAACTGTACTGATCCGGACTCGAAACGGAATGTATTCTTTGTTTAGAAGATATCCGGACCGCATCTTTTTGTTGATTTGTTGTTCCCCAATTCCAAACGGTGTCAGAGTACTCGAGTTTTCATATAGCAGTGTACTCTGGCCCCTCACCAGACATCTATATGTCAAAGGAAACTCAGACTTATTAGAACTATGCATTAGCCAAGTTTTCATAGCGTAAATGCATGGATTTTCAGAAAGTGAATTTCTTCCAATTTCGTGACAATCCCCTTCTCAAGATAGTTTCGTACAAACTGGTTGAGAGATGCTCTTGTTTATCCCTCTGATTTCAGAACAAAGGATTTGACAGCAGCAGTTAGCTGCAGCTGAAACAAATGTTTACAATGTTTGAGGAACATCTTCAATGCTAAAATAACCACAAAACTGAACCATTGACCTATAGAGCTGTCACGATACACTTTACCCACTATTCAATACGTATCTTGATATTTGTACCACTATTTGATTATTTCGATTCGAAACACCTTTATTTTAAAATATTAACAAAATAAGATATATATGCCGTCGATACACAGGAACCCAAAGTGTTTCCACACTTTTGATTTGAAGCTTGCCGGAGCATCACAAATTTTCATTTCCTTACCGCGGTCCGCCTTTTTGTTATGTATACTTTGTGAAAATTGTATCCTCGCAGAAGTTTGGCTGAGGGTTTAGAGATCATTCAATGAAATTTAACGTCTTGTAGACGTTTCTGCTGAAGCGGCATACACTAATATTCAGATCGTGACTATCGAAAATCAGGAAAAAAATATCGTGAAACGAACCGAACATAAATAATTGTGGTACAAGTGCATTGTGGCGAATCGTGACGCCTCTATTGACTTTGCACCGTAATATTCATTGTTTTTCATCAAACAATGAATAAAGCATACCCTTTTCCCCAAATAAGTTCACAATTTCCAGTTTAAGATTTTCTGGATTCTCTTTTTATCGTTAAAGATAAAAGTAAAAATAGTTTGTATCACTCACTTAACCTTAAGGCTGCTACGCACAGCATATGCCGTTCTGATCAGTTGGGTTGTCTGTGCTATGCTCGGCATATGCTGTTTCTCGGTCCATAGGTTTTGATCAGTAAACATGAAGTGTAAAAATCGGATTATTGCTATACCATGACCGAACGCATATAGTAGAAGTCTTCGGATTGGTTGTTTTGTCATTATTTTCGATATTCCCCGCAGCGTACCCTAGTAATAACCGAAGGTGTGGGAGAGAATTTCAAACAGAAAAAAATGTCATGAAAATGGCGGATTGAGGCGATGAATATGATGGTAAACATTTATTCTCCAGCATCACATACAACGATAATAAAGGGTTTGACATGGTTGATGTGGAAATACTTCGGTGTAATATAATATGTAACTTTCCAATGAAAGGCTTTGTGCCCTACACAAACTGAAAAATATCGGCGGACCAAGGCGCACATGTCGTCTGCAGGTGAGGCCAAATTGAACATTGACCGCGATACGTTATGTGCCGATTGATTTATTCAAACTATTTATCGATGATTTAATCATAAACTAGACCTTAGCTAAGATATGTCTATATGCCGAGTGTGACAGTAAATATATTGAATGACGACCTGAAACCTGTAGCAAATCACATGCAAGTCTTGATGAAATACCTGAGAATCTCTGTGTAAATGTACAGCGTCTTATGTCAAAAATGAAGTTTGCTATCTCTGTTATCATTTGCCAATCACATTAGCTGACAAAAATAATTTCAAAATTATCTTGTGCTTAAATCTGATTAATTAAAAATTTCACCTATCCTTACCTTTATTACCACCTGTACAGGTAAATACTAAAGCAACTTTAGAATTGAAAACATTAAAACAAACTGGAAACAATAACGAACAATTTTCATTGAACTTTTATTCACATATAACAAATATTTTTCAAGTTATGCACATTTGAAAAATCAAGTAAATAAATATTTATTTCAATAATTAATTCAGCAGTGGTGTCCCTCTGCTTAGAAATCTGGGTAGCAATCTAAGGGTTAAGTTGTGCAATACAATTCAAGATCACCATTATATTCACATATCTAAGTTCAAATAAGTAAATCTTTAAGAAAAATATCTTTATGAAACCCGAAGTATACCTGTGCAGTGCACTGTAATTGGATCAGTGAACTTAACCCCTGGGAGAAGCTCAAATATTACCGACAAGTGAAGTAGGTATATAGGGATATAAGAGGAAAATGTCCTTGCAATTAATCTGCAGTTCATGTGACATATTGGAAATCTAGAAAAAACATTATCAAACTAAATGCAAATCAAGTCGAGAGCATTTCGTTGAATTGTGATTCGTCTAATGTTTATATTTATAGCAATGAATTGTAGCAATCTCCACCATTCAGGGCTGTGCAATATGCTACATCATAGCTTAGGCATCTAATTATGACTAGTGTCTACGGAGCATGGGATATTGATTACACATGTCGCCCAGGAGTGCCGACATTGCATCACAACACCTTCAATCAAGGAAAACTGAATAAAAATTCCCTGAACAGAAATTAAATCCTGAACTATCTATCCTTGTATGGGATATGATGGATTTTTTGGGGAGCTTGCATTGGCGTACATGGCACATGATAATGGTACATTAATTTCCACTATCACAGTGTTGTCATAGACTTTGATTTTGCATCAAAAAGCAATCTTAACATATGATTTTGTATGACAAGGTCCTAGTTCGAAATCTTTTCTCTCATTACAGATAGATGATTTTACAATTTTCCACAAGCCTTATTTGACTTGTGATGACTGGGAAAGTAAAAGTTTCCCAGGAGGAATTTAGTGTTCCTGACAGTTCCCATTGTCTGACAGGAAGATAATGCAGACAGACATGACTAGGTAAATAATTCAATACTGTAATTTAGAAATATTTACTGTAAAGCTCCAAAATTTGTTGAAATATTTGTGTGCAAAATCAATGACACGGAGACTTGAGCATTTTCAGCAAATTCAGAAATTTAATTTTTATCACTTGCACCTGTTAGAACGTCATAAAAACTCTCAAAACATTGAATTACCATTATTTGCTGGTAACACTAACAGCAGGTGCCAGACAATCTAAAAAAAATCAAATACAGTTTTAAAATTTGTTATTTATTGCAGCATCTTCACTAACTTGTATGTGGTTGTTTCAGGGAAGGAGGCGACTCCATTCTTAGCCCTGGCAGGCACAACTCTGCCAGTGAATATAATTACACAAGTGATTCAGAAAGGTCCACGGACATCAAGATGGAAAACAACTTGGTATGTTATTGATATAAAGAAACTTCAGTTGACCTTGGTTCTTGATAGTTACCATGTTTTTAATTTGCGAAGTATATGTCCTGGGCCTGGATCCGCATCAAAGTGGAGCCATATTTTTGTTATCAATTTGATCACATTTCATTGTGACCTTTTCCACAGGATATTTTGAAACTTGCTGTATTTGATGAGAATCACGGAGTGTTCAAACTTTACAGTAGACCCATAAACAATCGCCATGCGAAACACTAGGTACGGTCTATGGGAATCACTTATTAGTCGAAGATGTCTATTAAGTTATTTCCTAGACTATGATGGGTATTATTCAATGACAAGTAATTTCCTGTTGTCAAGCATTAACTGAAACTTAAGGTCTACAGGAAGTTGGGGTGGAACTCCATACTTTTATGACAAACCCCTTGGTTAATCCATCAGATGTTTAAATTTGAACCTGGTGACTGTAACTTGTCCCACAGACAGAATATTTTAGGTTCTTTTTAATATTATGTTGATGACCAGCATTGTCATTTTATGTTCAGTGATTAAGTACACTTTTACAATTACCATGTGACAAAACTTTTTTTTTAGAATGATTCCGACTTGAATGATGGGGCATCACCAAGTTCTGTAAACCAGAATTCCACCAGTAACGGACGTAGTACCAATCAACTGCAATATCTTCAAAAGTCAGTCATGAAAGCTCTGTGGCGACACCAGTATGCTTGGCCATTCCATAAACCTGTAGATGCAGACTCCTTAAACTTGCCAGTGAGTAGAAACAAAGCATTTGCAAGCAGAAGGAAAATAGAGGAAGCTGATAATGTTTAGTATATAGGAAGTTTGTAAGTGTAGGGGCCGAAGTGTGTACAAGCGTAGGGGCGGTGTTGGCCGAGTGGTTAAGGTGTCTTGACATCTATGATCACTAGCCCTCCACCAATAGATTGAGGGGTTCGAGACCTATGTTGGGCAGTTGGGGCAAAACCTGACTTGTCTTTAAATAACCATAGCTGATAACAGGATGTAAAGCACAAACCAGCTATTGGATCAAAACAGCTGGTATAAGTGCAGCTTCCCAGAGAGCTGATTGGCATTAGCTGAAGGGGAGTAATTGGGTGTTAATTTAAAAGCCTACTCTTCTAGGAAGGATGTTGTACCCCTTTATGTTTATAATCTTTGAATAAAAATATTTTACGAAGATTGCCAAAAAAATTCCAGGTGAGCAACAAATGCCTTCTTGGCTTCTTATTTGGAAAATACTAAAGAATTTTGATGAAACTTTATATCCTTGATACCTTTAGTCTCTAGATCCCTTTATATCGGGTAAATGACTAGTTCAGTGTTTTTGGAGATCACACTACTTACTCTTTTATGATTGGTTCTCTGATTTTGGGACAATATTTCTTGTTTTTGTACTGGTTGTGACCAATTTGTTGTTTAGTTGTATAATCAAAGTGTCAAAATTGCTGTCTGACGATACAGCTGGCACTTCCACAATTCTGTCTTTAGATTGGTAAATGCTTCCGAGTCATATTCATTATTACTGCCTATGTCACAGCTACAAAAAAAGCTGCAATTAGAAACTTCTGACTTCTCAGTTATATTTGTTTACAGGATTACTACAAAATAATCAAACATCCTATGGATCTAGGATCTATCAAGAAGAGACTGGAAACCAATTATTACTTCTCTGCCACAGAATGCATACAAGACTTTAACCAGATGTTTACAAATTGTTACATTTACAACAAACCTGGAGAGGTGAGATTTATTGTGGTCCTTGTCTTTTGTAAGTATGGCATGGGAGGGGCAAACATTGTTCTGCCCTGCAATATTCTTGTTGATACTCCAATGCAATCAGCTTTTCGTACCATGCTGTCACCATAATTTTCATTGACATGTATATGTATGCGGTTGGATCAATAAAAATTATGCAGTTACTTGATTGAAAATATATAAAAAAAAAAAGGCGTTATGGATCAATTGGATGTATGTTTATTTAAGAATTTTGGAAGTCTAAAAGGATAACACTATTAGAAAAGATAACGTAAAAGAAGAATTGGCTTATTCAGTATATTTTGAACTTAAAAAAATGAATCATATTTCACAATGGGTGGATCTACTCAAGTTCTTGCATATTAAATGGAACGATTTTTAAATAACTGGCAGCAAGAAAGTGTATCTAAATAAAGCATCAAAACTTTGATGAAATGATAAGAAAAGATGATAAAAAATACTGCATTTTTCCCTTCAAAAGTATTTACACTGTAGTGTGTTGCCAATCTTGAATGCACTATCAATGTTTACTGCCATGGATCATTTTCAAATCAAGGTCACAATTTTTTTTATTGAAGATATTCTAATAAAACTGAATATATTCCTACACTTGTGCTATTTGCACAAAAAGATATTAAAAGAAAATCTGAATGTTTAAGCTATTGTAGGATTCAGCAATACTGTTATATATTGTGAATCGGTAAACAGCTTGGTGATGGATACAGTTTTATCATGTTTGTACAGAATTTATTGTAGCTCGTACTAGTTAATACAATGTATGTGATCAGTTTATACATTTACTTGCAGGATATTGTACTCATGGCTCAAGTGCTAGAAAAAGTTTTTCTGCAGAAGGTTGCTCAGATGCCCTCTGAAGTAAGTAAAAAAATAAAGGCAAACCTGTTCAACATTTTTACATGTATTGCTACAAATTTGTGTAACCTATGATAGTGCACTAGAAGCCAGTGAAAATGTGATGAAATGCTCTTGAGATCACAAATGCTGCAGCAGGAATGCATCATAATTTGCTCTCTTGCTGAACAGATTGTTGTTCATCCTTCATTGTCATTGGATCTATGAAATTACACCACAACCCCCGGAAGGCACTTTTTTTTTCAGGGGGACCACTCACAGTGTTTTTTTCCAGGAGGTACAAAGCATAGAACTTAATTTCTGGGTTTTAGGACCACCCATAGAAGCAATATATTTCTATTAATTTGTATATTCAAGTCTTGTTGCATCATCCAAATTATATATATATATATATTACATCAGTGTCAATTCCAAATGATGTATTATAACTCTGATCGTGTTTTGTTTGTTATAAAATTACCAAAAGCTTTAGGTGCACCTGACTTTCATCTGTAAACTATCGGCCAAAAACTAGACATGCTGTTCTGAGTCCAAATCAGAGGCCACACACACCTGCATTTCCATATATCATCAATTGCGAACCTATAAGGGGGGAAAATTGACCGTCATGTGGTCGTTGACATTTGGGTAATCATATACTCAGTTGGTTTCATCTTGATTTATACGTCGGCTTATTGATGAATGAGTCGATTTTTGAAAGATAAATCCCTTACATTCAAGTAAAATTCGAGTTGTACCTCTAAATTTCCCTGTTACGGTCCCTTACTCATTCAACTCTAGCCAGTCGCAGGCCTGGGGCCTGTTCGTTTATGCGGAACAACCGGTTTGACCATTTATAAATGTAACAATTTCGGGTATAAATCCTGGCAAACCTGCAAATGTTTATGCAGGCCTTTCGAGGCTTTGTCACAACTCGCCTGAAAGCAGTATAAGATAACTAGGTCCAACTGTATTTAATAAACGAACAACTGTGGTCCGACAGGTTTGACGGTTAATACGAAAACTGCCGTGTTCCACACTCCAGGTAGCAGTGTACAGTAGCGTACGGTGGCCACGGGTGATATTTTTGTACAATTAATAACCCCTGTAATATTACATGTATCAAAACCTTAAAAAAAAAAAGGCACTAAAATTGGCATTTACATGATGAAGTAAACTGTGGGCTTCATATTTAAAAAAAAACGAGTTTGGTTTGAGACTACTTTTTTGGCCATTTACAAATCTGTATCTACACAACAAAAGCTAGGTTTTTATGTAGTCTACTTTTGAACTCGACACATCTGTATATATTGTGAAAAATCCACCGGTATGACCTATGCTAAAACGTGAGTATTTCTGTTACTGGTTAGGTGATATTTGATATTAGACTGGTTTTAAGAAAGAAAGAAAAATCTTGCGGGGGTCAAATTTTGGGTTAACAATCTTGTTTGTTTTGGCATTTTTTGATGTCGTAACCATGGTTTTCACAAGTTCCAAATCTGGGGAAATCACTTTTTGAAGAAAAAAATCATTCTTCTAAAAAAAACATTCAAAATAGTTTATAAATATATATATATGTAGGTGTGTTGTGCAGGATGAATCAGCTTTCCATGTTTATCCGAGACATGCCCTTTATTTTTAGGATTCGGCCATTTCTACTGTACTCTGCTACCCAAAGCTTTCCAGTCCGCCATCTTCTTTTGAAAGCCCCGTATGTAATGTAAGCGTTATCTCCCCTTAACCATTTGAGACGGTCGCGATTTCGAAGCGAGCGTTTCCTGACATTGAAATTTAAAAAAAAAAAGACAGAACACAAAATAAAATGACTACACACATGCTGTCTTCCCAGATTAGCTGAAGGATTAATGTATTGCAACAATGCCATAGATGTTATTTAAAATGAAGGATAATAAAAGACCATGAACAGAAGTGATTTTCTCCAGATCAGCATGTGGTACAGAAGCTTTCTTTTGCTCGCACCAACCATGCACAGAAGTTCTATATTTTGCCATCCGGGAGGTAGGGGTATGTTTTAATGGAATATCCCTTAAGTAACCTGAACTAGATGGAATAGTATAAAAAATAAATAACCATTTACAATTAAATTCATTCTTCCATGTTTATGAATAGGGTGTCCACCAGTAATTTCAATTGGTGCAAGTTCAGTTAATGACATTTGTATGAAGTACTACTTAAAACCTAAGAAACTTTGAAAACAGTAGAATCATTAGGATGAATATTTAATCATATTTAAAATAAAGCATTTACAATTATTTAATTGATGCAGGTTAGGTAGTAAGTGTTCAAGTAGTAACAAAGGCACAAATAATGAATTTCAGGTTTAATTACAGTTTCTTGGTATCTAAGAAAGGAACACTGTTTCCTTTCATGAAACTGGTGACTATATTTATGTACACATGTATATCGTCACTTTCATGTTCTTATTAGCTAAATTTATACCATTTGTTTTCATAGTTCATGCCTGTAATGAACATTAAAAAATGTATAGTATACAATTTGTAACCGGCTTTTTTCTTTTCACAGGAAAAAGAAATTCTCCCTCAAGCAAGAAAAACTCCCAAATCTGCCAAACTGTCTGGTGCTACAGCCAGCAAAGCTCTCAATGCCAAGCCTGTTGATGCTGAACCAGCTAAACCTGTACCCCCACCTCCTTTACCCACCCCTTCATCTACTCTTCAGCCAACTACTGCAGCTGTGGCCCCATCATCCACAACGGCTGTCACTGCAGCACCAGCATCAATCTCATCAACAACAACCACATCAACCAATACTGTCATGGAATCAACGCAATTCAATACAACACACGATGCCATAGAGCCAGCAATTGTTCCCCCATCACAACCAATCAAGGTATACACTCATTTGATCCGAAAACTATTTAACATAGGATAGATGTTGTGATCTTCATGTTGCCAATTCAAATACACTACTGAAAAAGGGGAAGATTTTGTGAAAATGTGGAAATCCTTTTAGATAATATAGAATATGTAGATTTCAGAACCATTGCACATGCAAACACAAAAATGTTCATACTGTCATCAGTTTAGAAAGAGTCGACAAGAACATTTCAACAAAAAAATTTTTTTTTACAGTATCGTCATTGCATAATTTTATCCCAAAACCAATACTCCAGATAACATTTTTTTTTTGGTTTTTTGTATTTTCAGACAAAGAGAGGAGTAAAGCGGAAAGCTGATACAACAACCCCTGTTGTGTCATCCTCACCTTATGATCCTGTATTTGATCCAAGTCCCAAAGTAGAAAAACTGGTTTCTCCAAAGGTTACTCCTGCAAAGGTCTTGTCTGCAAAGGTCCTCCCAGCAAAGGTCCTCCCAGCAAAGGTTACTCCTGCAAGGAGGGAAAGCAATAGGCAAATAAAAAAACCGAAACGAGATTTACCTTCAGAAGAGCCAGTAGGAGAACAGGTGAATTTTAATTTTAAGATGGTTCTTACCATCAGAAAGATATCGGTGCATGGTGCACTTTTTTATCAAAACATGCTATTGTCCACCAACACTGGTTTAGTGTTGGAAAAGTGATTCAATTTAAACACTTAGCAACTTCATTCTATGTTATGGAGATGGTAATAACAGACAGAAAAAACATGAATATTAAAATCAACTTGTCAACTTTAAGTGTAGTACCCTGTGTGTGTGCATGTTTCAAGGTATCGAGATCAAAGTGGTTGTAACTTTTTGAAGAACACTGAAACTAATTTCACATGGCAGTGGGGGAATTGATTTCTTACAGACATTTTCTAGTTTATATTTTTGTCAACACATAGCAAACTTGAAACCTTCCAAGTGTTGGAGAATTCATGTTGGTCCCATACCAGGGGCCAGACATCTTTCTTTAAGAATATATTATCTTTGGTGCTGTAGCCATAGGAAACTCAGGATTGAAAATGTTCTCTCTTTTTTCCCCCTTTTTTTTTGGTGAAGTACTGGTTGAGCTTGTTCAATTAGGCTGATGGCTATTGTTTTGGATATAAAATTGTACACCTTTGGTGCTTGTGGTGACATTTTGTATTAAGACATAATGGAATATTTTCTTTAATAATCTTAATCCTGTACTATGAGCTTCAAAAATGAAGTTTAGGTAATATCTAAATGTGAAACAAAGTGAATTATTTCTTGTTTCTCTTTTTACTGTTGAAACAAAGATGTATACCGTGTTTGTTTTTGTAAATTATTGCAGGCACAACACAACATGAAGAATAAGAAAGGGAAGCTCTCTCCACAGTTGAAGTATTGCAGTAATTTTGTCAAGGAATTGTTTGCTAAAAAGCATGCTGTAAGTCGATGCAATATTGAATTATTCAAACTTTTATTATTTTGCAAATTCCATTGTCAGAATGAGTAAATCAAAGAAGGCTAAAATAGCTATCAGAAGTTTTTTAAAGTCATGTATTTTGGGAATTTGTTGTGAAACTGAAAGGGTAAACATTACAATTTAATATATTTGGCTTTCTGTCATATGCCCCAAATTTTAACTCCACATGATACTTGCAATTGAAAATAAATTTTGCAGATAACGCCCGTCTAGAAAGATATTTTAATGAAATGTCAGATTTTTTTACCTTGATTTTTCAACAGCCTGTTCCTTTATGAATTTGGAAAATGTCAGATTTTTTTATTAGGGATATATTCCTCATTTTTTGGTCAAATGAGGCTCTTTTTAGCAAAGAGAGACTGCCTGTATTCAGCTGTTCATCTGAGCAAAAAAAATCCCTGAATGTCCGTGGCAATTAATATGAATGTTTCATATTTTTTGGCATTTGCCTTCATTTTGTCTTCAAATAATTTCAATGTTCTTTGTTTTTGCAGAGTTATGCTTGGCCATTTTATAAGCCAGTGGATGCCACACTTCTGGGTCTACATGATTACCATGAAATTATTAAAAAGCCTATGGACCTAGGCTCCATTAAAGTGAGTACATAGTATACCATGAAAAAGGAAGAGACAGACAATCTTCAAATGTTAACATGCTTTTTTTATCGTTTCTATTCTTGCCATCCTATATAAAAAAAAAATCATCGTAAACATTGATAAGTTACTCAATTCTAACATATTAAAATATATTTCTGTGCATGTCCCTTACATATAAGGTACAAGTAGCATGTACATAATTAAAAATCTTGAGAAATATTGGTAGAAACATAATCATAGGGCCAAGCTCTAGATACTATAATTCATAAACCTGAAAATATTGGGCAAGGACCATAGCTTTATTGCAATGATTGAGTCTTTAATCAATCAGGTGATAGAAAATGCCATGAATAATCCCAGTCTGCTTTCCGAAAGTGAGACTGTTTCATGCCATGGCTACATATTACCTCCATGCTATAAATTTATTAAAAAAACACGGGTCAGTTTGGCTAGTAGTTTCAATTTCGGGTAATACTTGCTCCATGTGAAAATTCCTCTGACCCCATGTTACGAAGTATTGACGATATTAAATTTGATAAGTCTGTCAGGCTATCTTTATTGTAAAGCCCAGACTTCCGTCGATTGTGCATTAAACCTAGGGTATTGATCATATTTACCAAATCTGCTGAGCACACCAACGTACCCTGTTTCTTGCATACACTACGCACATGGGAGTCCCGTCCTTAAATGACCTTAACTATTAATAGGACGTTCAACAAAATTAAACCAAACCAAATCTTGGCCTGAACCATTATCTATTCCATATAAACAATGCCCCATCACTAAACCTTGCTTTCCGAAAAAGGCAACTTGCAAACATCAGTTGTACTTGTGATTCCATAAACCTGAAAATATTGGGCAAGGCCCATAGCTTTATTGCAATGATTGATTCTTTAATCAATCGGGTGATAGAAAATGCCATGAATAATCCCAGTCTACTTTCCGAAAGTGAGACTGTTTCATGCCATGGCTACATATTACCTCCATGCTATAAATTTATTAAAAAAACACGGGTCTGTTTGGCTAGTAGTTTCCTAATCCAAATTCCTCTGACACCATATAACTTAGTATTGACGATATTAAATTTTGATAAGTCAGTCGGGCTATCTTTATTGTAAAGCCCAGACTTCTGTCAATTGTGCATTAAACGTAGGGTATTGATCATATTTACCAAATCTGCTGAGCACACCAACGTACCCTGTCTCCTGCATACACTACGCACATGGAGGCCTGTCCTTAAATGACCTTGGCTGTTAATAGGACGTTAAACAAAATTAAACCAAATACTATCTTGGCCTGAACCATTATTTCACTAGGGATCATGTTCGGGCTATTCCATATAAACAATGCCCCATCACTAAATTTTGCTTTCCGAAAAAGGCAACTTACAAACATAAGTTGTACTTGTGATTCCATAAACCTGAAAATATTGGGCAAGGACCATAGCTTTATTGCAATGATTGAGTCTTTAATCAATCAGGTGATAGAAAATGCCATGAATAATCCCAGTCTGCTTTCCGAAAGTGAGACTGTTTCATGCCATGGCTACATATTACCTCCATGCTATAAATTTATTAAAAAAAACCACTGGTCAGTTTGACTAGTAGTTTCCAAATCCAAATTCCTCTGACCCCATATAACTGAGTATTGACGATATTAAATTTTGATAAGTCAGTCGAGCTAACTTTATTGTAAAGCCCAGACTTCCGTCAATTGTGCATTAAACGTAGGGTATTGATCATATTTACCAAATCTGCTGAGCACACCAACGTACCCTGTCTCTTGCATTCACTACACACATGGAGGCCCGTCTTTAAATGAACTTATCTGTTAATAGGACGTTAAACAAAATTAAACCAAACCAAATCTTGGCCTGAACCATTATTTCACTAGGGATCATGTTCAGGCTATTCCATATAAACAATGCCCCATCACTAAACCCTGCTTTCCGAAAAAGGCAACTTGCAAACATCAGTTGTACTTGTGATTCCATAAACCTGAAAATATTGGGCAAGGACCATAGCTTTATTGCAATGATTGAGTCTTTAATCAATCAGGTGATATAAAATGCCATGTATAATCCCAGTCTGCTTTCCGAAAGTGGGACTGTTTCATGCCATGGCTACATATTACCTCCATGCTATAAATTTATTAAAAAAACACGGGTCAGTTTGGCTAGTAGTTTCAATTTCGGGTAATACTTGCTCCATGTGAAAATTCCTCTGACCCCATATTACAAAGTATTGATGATCTTTATTGTAAAGCCCAGACTTCCGTCAATTGTGCATTAAACGTAGGGTATTGATCATATTTACCAAATCTGCTGAGCACACCAATGTACCCTGTTTCTTGCATGCACTATGCACATGGAGTCCCGTCCTTAAATGACCTTAACTATTAATAGGACGTTCAACAAAATTAAACCGAACCAAATCTTGGCCTGAACCATTATCTATTCCATATAAACAATGCCCTATCACTAAACCTTGCTTTCCGAAAAAGGCAACTTGCAAACATCAGTTGTACTTGTGATTCCATAAACCTGAAAATATTGGGCAAGGACCATAGCTTTATTGCAATGATTGAGTCTTTAATCAATCGGGTGATAGAAAATGCCATGAATAATCCCAGTCTACTTTCCGAAAGTGAGACTGTTTCATGCCATGGCTACATATTACCTCCATGCTATAAATTTATTAAAAAAAACACTGGTCAGTTTGACTAGTAGTTTCCTTATCCAAATTTCTCTAACCCCATATAACTAAGTATTGACGATATTAAATTTTGATAAGTCAGTCGAGCTATCTTTATTGTAAAGCCCAGATTTTCTGTCAATTGTGCATTAAACGTAGGGTATTGATCATATTTACCAAATCTGCTGTGCACACCAACGTACCCCGTCTCCTGCATACACTACGAACATGGAGGCCTGTCCTTAAATGACCTTAGCTGTTAATAGGACGTTCAGCAAAATTAAACCAAACACTATCTTGGCCTGAACAATTATTTTACTAGGGATCATGTTCGGGCTATTCCATATAAACAATGCCCCATCACTAAATTTTTCTTTCCGAAAAAGGCAACTTACAAACATCAGTTGTACTGGTGATTCCATAAACCTGAAAATATTGGGCAAGGACCATAGCTTTATTGCAATGATTGAGTCTTTAATCAATCAGGTGATAGAAAATGTCATGTATAATCCCAGTCTGCTTTCCGAAAGTGAGACTGTTTCATGCCATGGCTACATATTACCTCCATGCTATAAATTTATTAAAAAAAACACTGGTCAGTTTGACTAGTAGTTTCCTAATCCAAATTCCTCTAACCCCATATAACTAAGTATTGACGATATTAAATTTTGATAAGTCAGTCGAGCTATCTTTATTGTAAAGCCCAGACTTCTATCAATTGTGTATTTAACATAGGGTATTGATCATATTTACCAAATCTGCTGAGCACACCAAAGTACCCTGTCTCTTGCATACACTACACACATGGAGGCCCGTCTTTAAATGAACTTATCTGTTAATAGGACGTTAAACAAAATTAAACCAAACCAAATCTTGGCCTGAACCATTATTTCACTAGGGATCATGTTCGGGCTATTCCATATAAACAATGCCCCATCACTTAACTTTGCTTATCTAGCTGCGATAACGTACGTAGCTTTCTGACGAAGAGCGATTTTTTTTTATATATTGCGTCGTCGCGCCAAGGCAGGCCGGGTATTATATTAGTACTAATTTAAAACTTGCATGTCAAAACAAAAAACAATCGTTTAATTCAGCAATATAATTAAATCATACCATTTTACTGATCCCGGTAATATTATAAATTATGTAAATCTAATAGCGCACGTATCTCATTTGACCCCGAGCACCGACAGAGGATCAGAGAACAGAATACGCCGTGGCCATCACAGCAGTTATCCCTTGGGGGGCCTCATGGCAAAATCAAACTAACCAGTCACTTATCCCTTTCGTTTGCATAAACCACTGTATAATTATAAAAAACACAAAGTAAACTCTCTCCGATACATGCCCATTAACATATTAAACTAAGTTCATCTGTGTTCAAACTCACACAATGATACTAGCGAGGTTAATAGTTTTAGATATTTATTCATAACATAAACAGCGCTAGCATTTCTGTCGATTTTATTTCAGCTTAACCGGCCGCTATCCGGAAGAAAACATGCACCGTACTGACTGCTAGGGCAGTTATTTTCTGCTTTGAATACTTCCCACTGGCAATAATGATTCCGTAACGTACCCCTTGCGCTATCTTTTGACCATTTGGCAACTATTCGCTTCGTAGCTGACACGGTACAACACTTTTCTTTGGCTTACTTCACACGGCCAGTCATTTTGTTTACAAAGAAATGGTGTGCTATGCGCATGCGCTAGTAGAGGGAAATCCCTGAACAAAACGTTGGTCAGACAGGTAGAAATACCGATGATTATCTTAGATTTAATCATTTTTATGAATCTTTTTCAGCCAAATCCGATCGGCATTTTCCATAAGGAGTCTCACTTGATATGTTTATGTAGTATTTGGAAAAAAGACAAAAAAAAAAAGTTACTTCAGCGTGATGCCCCTTTAAGTCAGTTGGGCTAGTGTTTTATTGCACAATTATAAGATTGATAAGGTACCGTTTTTGTTGAGTCCTGGCTTCTGTCAGTTGTGAATTAAACATAGAGTATTGATCATATTTTACAAAAACTGCTGAAATTAATTTTTTCTTCCGGCTATGAAGCTGGAAGCATTATTCACAAGGGATCATGTTATCACTGAACTTTGCTTTCTGAAAAAGGCCACTAAAAACTTAAATAGTTATGTTGATTTCTGTTAAGATGTGACAGTTGCATGAATGCTGACAGCTTTATAGTGGTAAATTTCCTTGAAGTTCTAGACATGACTTATCACCACTTCATTTTCACCAGTTTGTAATTGCAACAGAATTTTGCTTTTCCTTTAGAGTAATGAAATGATAAAATGTAGTTTTCATTTCAAATACAACCATAAAAAGCAAACTAGATTGCTAAAAACTTCTAGAATAATGAAAATATTATGTGCTAGATAATGATTGACAAAATCAGGTTATGATAAATTTTGCCTTTTATCATGATCATGACACTCGCACAGAAAATGCAATTGTAATGTACATTATTGAAATTGAAATTAAATGAAAATGAATATAAAAAAATGTAAGCACATCATTATCAGGCTATTTACAACTATCATGTCCAGACATAACATCCAAAAATATTTTGGTAACATCAAATAAGGCAAAGCTGTGTCTTGAAAATATAGGGCAATGACCATAATAATCATAATCATAATAATTGGAGGTTCTTATATACCGCTTTATCACATCCTAGTTTGTAGGTCGTCTCAAAGCGGTTCACAAATTATTATCCGTGGTTATAGGGCCTTTGCAACCAGCAAATACATTTCTCAACTCCCTGGGTAGCATACAGCCGGAGCTGCCATTTCGGCGCTAACAGCTAGCATTCAACAATTCTAGCACTGCCCAACCACATACTCATTTACAGCTGAGTAGACTGGAACAAGCGGAGTAAAGTATCTTGCTCAAGGATACAACACATTGTCGTGGCGCGAACCTGCAACCCTTCGGTCACGAGCCTGACGTCCTACCACTGGACTACCGTGCCTCCTGTAACCACAGCTTTATTGCAATGATTGAGTCTTTAATCAGTCAGGTGATGGAAAGTGCTATGAGTAATCCCAGTCTGCTTTCTGAAAGTATGACTGTTTCATGCTATGGCCACAATAAGTTTTATGTGCATTCTATTTTGCATTCTGAATATGTGTTTTGAATTAAATGTATTATTTGTTGCCTTTTTTGGCAAAAATTTAAATGGTTTCTTACTGGTTTTCTTTATATATATTTTTTTCAGAGAAAGCTAGAAACAAGAGAGTACTCGTGTCCTTCTGAGTTTGCTGAGGATTTGCGGTTAATTTTCACAAACTGTTATCGTTACAACCCCCCAGATAGTGATGTAGTAATGATGGCAAAGAAGCTACAGGATGTTTTTGAAATGAGATATGCAAAAATGCCTGAACTTCCTGACCTGCCAGAAATGGCAGGAAACGGGGGATTAAAGAGTGATAGTGAAAGTTCATCTGCAGAGGAATCTCCTACAGATGATGATGATGACAGTGAAGATGAGCGAGAGCAGAAGATCAAGGAACTGCAGGAAACGGTAGGCAGGCAATGATATACCTACTTAACTTTAACTCTAGTTGCAGTGTAAAAACAAGATTCAATTCTTTGAACATGACATAGAATAAAGAAGGGATTGCAGTATGTTAAAAATGTATTTTCTCAGTGGAATTCATAAAGTACCGATGTGTTCTGAATTTTATAGAAAATCCATTTTATTACATTTAAGTTGTTCAAAAACTGAATAGGTTGATGAATTCTAAATGCTTAGGATGTGGAGCAATGCCCCGAGTACACCTAAAATATAATCCAAATAAAATTGTCCTTGTTAACAAAATGTTCCTATTTCAGATGAAGCATATACAAGAACAGTTGCAACAGTTAACAGAAGAACATATGCAAAAATTAAAACAAAAGACTGAAAGACGTGAAAGAAAGGAGAAAAGACTTGTGAAAAAGAAATCTAAAGTCAAAGATGATGTGAAAGACAAAGTGATAGAACCTTTAAATGTGCCATCTCAGCCTCAACTTGTGCAATTGCCGGCTGCAGACACCTCTAAGCCTGCTAAAACTGTTAAGTCAAAGGCAAATAAACAAAAATCGCCTTCTGAATCTAAACGCAAACGAGCAGGTCGCTCTCAAAGTAGTTCCAAGAAAAATAAAAGTGCAACAGTGGCTGTGTCTCAGTTACAACCACCACCTCCAGCATTTGACAGTGATGATGAGGACAATGCAAAGCCAATGACCTATGATGAAAAGCGGCAGTTAAGTTTGGATATAAATAAGTTGCCTGGTGAGTTTTATATAGCCATTTGAGTGAAACACATTCCTGTGAATTGGTTCTGTTTGACCTTTCAATATGATGTTATATTCTTGTAATGTTATGTCAATTTTGCACTTTGGATACAGTTTTACCTCTCGAAGGTTGAGGGGTTTTACAATGAGTCTGAATTGGATAGATACTACATGGCATGTGACAAGGGTATGCCCTGCTCTGCTTTCTTCTTACCTAGCCCCAATACTTGGCAAAGTGCTTGTTAGCTTTTTTTGCTTACATGAACTTTGTTTTTTTATCCAGTCAATAGCAACGAGGAAAGGGGTGCTAAGTTTTCTTTATAAATTACCCAACTTATTTTCAATGTCACATAAGTCAAATGTAAAGAGCCATAAGGTCTAGAGCCACAAGCGTGTTACTTTTTTCAGTTCACCCAAGTCAATCAAATGATTCCTTATCTGTCATTCATAAACAATCACATTTTCGAATTCTCAGAATTTGGTTGTAACCATCGGCCTGTGATGGGGATCAAAGTCAACATTTTATGGTTAACAGAGGAATGATATATGATTATATTTGACAGTTGTGCACAAAATGATATATGATTATATTTGACAGTTGTGCACAAAACTTGCTTTTAATTTCAGGAAAAAAAACATTTTCCTCTTTAAAAGTGCTTGGATTTTGAAATGAGCTTAAATTAAATAAAATACTACTTGCATCTTTTATGCAGAGTAATCTGAAATTAATTTTTTATGCCAATCTGTTGAATATCACAGGGGTTTACTGAAAACCCAGTTTGTATGAACTATTTCATCCTTATTAAATGGCTGACCACTCAAAGGGGCTTAGGGGCAGTGCGATTTATGGTTGTCAAAGAGTGCCAAACCTTCAAATGATGTCTCTAAAATAATTCTTTGCTCATTATGACTTGTTAAGTCCTATGGGCCTATTGTTTCCAATATATTGTGTCAAGATCGGCCTTGCATATACTGGTCATGGTCAAATGTCAACACATGCATTCATTGGTAAAATGTATCTAGTTCCATTTATCCAAAGTTAGAGTATTATCAAATTTCCTGAAATAACCTTGATCTTCTTTCGAAGTCACAGGTCAAATATGTTATAAAGACCAACCATGTTATCTTTTTCTAACATGTTGAGACAACTTTGAGAGCAAGAACTAAAAATATCTGAAGATTGAAAGTTAAAATTTCATTGTTGAGGGAATAGGGGTTCAGGTCATCTAGTCTGTAAAAAGTAAGCATATACAGTCCAGGTGAGAGCTACAGGTCTGCGTAAGCACATTATATATACACATTCACAATTTCAAGTAATCTTGTCTGCATTTAAACTTGGCTATTGTTCCTACACATATTTAGAAATGTGTGCTGTTTAGAAATTTATAACAGGATATATTGCCTGTGTGCCTGAAAGTGACATTTGTGCAACATCACAGGTTAAAAAACTACATAAAAATGCAAATGCAACAAGACTATTTTTTAGCTGTATTATCTACAATGAATTTTCTGCTTCGTGGAATTAGTTATTTCCTATTCGCTTGAGTTTAATTAGCTAGGGCTGTTGGCAACGGTTAGGAAGTCGGATAACCGTGTTCTTATTTGAACCAAAACCGTGTAACTATGTTTTTTTGTGCCATGAAATACTGCCACCAATGGTCCTTTGTTTTAATAAAAAAATGATTACTTAATTCACTAAATGCATTAACAATACCTATTCCTTGTGAACACTGTTGAAAAATGTTGTAAATTCTCAAAATCAATTTTTAGTTTCACTTTACACTTGTATGTTGTCAACACTATACTATGCGCACGTATTTCTGCGCATCACATCAAATACAAATTTCACGTCCCTTGGTCTCGCCGTGTGTTGGAAATTGGTTAAAATTTTGTTGTTACCAGTCACTTAATAATAAGAACTATCTATACCTCCCTTCCAACACAAATTTTTAATTTAAAGTCTTTTGTGGCCATGAATGGCTTTGACAGTAAAAGTACACAGCAGCTGGAAATGTTTTTCATTATACTTCTGCTGCTTAACTCTTAAAGTAGCTAGCAAAGAGTTAAGCTTGAAATCATGAATTGCTTAGCTGAAAACTCCATAATAAATTTAATGGTAAATTACACAATTATTCTGACTAAAATTGTTCATAAAATCATAGTCTATTAATCTATTTTTATTTTAGACTAACTATAAAAACATGAAATTATAGTCTATTAATCAAGTTTTTAAGTCTTTCCAATATTCCATATCTTTTTTGTTTTATGTAAAGTGGCATTATTGTGATCAGTAATATGTCGTTTTACTTTGTGCAAAAGCATTGTGGAGAAGGCCTTGGTTATCTTGTTATAACTTACGCCTAATCCATTTGATTCATTATGTATTAAAATATTTCTAATTTACAAATCAAAAGAAGTCTCATCACTTCATTTGAATGGGTTTTAGTGCATATTGTTGTTACGGCCATGATGGATAATGAACCGTCTTCCTTTTCATTAAAATCTCCACAACAAAATCACTTTTGTTCAACATGGGTGAACTTTAATTTTGTTGTTGTGCTTTTCATTTAAGTAGCTCTGACTTTTAATATCTTGCTTTGCAGGGGACAAATTAGGAAGAGTAGTGTATATAATACAATCCAGAGAACCGTCCTTACGAGATTCCAATCCAGATGAAATAGAAATAGACTTTGAAACTTTAAAACCTTCAACATTACGGGAATTAGAAGCTTATGTGATGTCTTGTTTAAAAAAGAAAACAAGAAAAACGTATAGTAAGTATTCACTACAGTTAATTGACTTAGTGTGAAAATAATGAATATTAATTCTTTTTAAAATATTAATGAGGGATGGATTCAAAAAATATATTTGATGTCTGCCGAAAAGATCAATTTCAATTGGAAAATTTAATATTAAATAAATAAGTTGAAGTATACATGTTATTTGCTGGACTTTGGTGATTTGAAGTGTTTAATAGATGTGAATTATTTTTTTAAATTTGGTCCATATTAGCAAAAAAAGGAGCTGGTAAGTCACGTGAAGAAGCCCAGAGTGAAAAGAAAAAGGAGTTGGAAAAGCGGTTGCAGGATGTACAGGGTCAGTTAGGAGGATCGCACAAGAAAACTGGTAGCAAAAAAGGTAAGTCAATATCACATGAAAATAAGTATTCAAGATAGAAATTTAATAGTCAGTGTTTGATTTAATTAAGTCTCAATTTTAGTGCAGTCATCACAGAATTGCATTTTGTACAGTTATAGTGTATGTTTTCCTGCAACAGAGTATATTTATTAATCCAATCCCTTCACCTTTATGTGCTGTTTTGTTTGGTAACTTAGATGATGGCAATGCAGCAGATGGTGGGGCCAGTCGCTTGAGTGCCAGCAGCAGTAGTTCGTCCGGCAGTGACTCCAGTAGTGACAGTAGCTCTTCCAGTTCTTCCGATTCCAGCGACTCTGAGTCAGGTTAGACAACCTCTATCCAGTCTAGGCTTGCTCTGGGGGTTACGAGTAATGGGTTTGTTGGCCCTGCCTTGCCACATTGCAAGGCAGGTGAACTGGGATTGGGCAATGCTGCAGGATGACATGTAATACAAGTTATACTACATGAGCCTGCTAGGATGGATTGGTTATCATCAAGAGTGGTTTTGGTTACATGCCACATGAAGTCTCTTCTGATGAGTCCAGTTCTTTTAATTTACGATTGCAGAGGACATTCAATTTTACTGCAGTTAAGCACCAAGTGGGTCTTGAAATCCATTGTTGTTGATATATAATATTGCATCTATTGTTGAAATGGACAGTACAAGGTGTTTGTATTTGGTTTGGCTTAGAGTGCAGAATGTGTTAATTGTTGGGGCCAGTCACACAAAACATGCTGGTGTGGAATACCATAAATTATTGTTTTACATTGATCATCCCATTCATTTTTTTTTTCATGAGCCATTGAACATAGTCAATCATGTACAAAATGCAGGTTCAGAATGTACAAGGTTTCATCTAAGATCATTTTATGTTTAAGTATGTGCGTCATTGAATATGGTGCTTTTCATTGTGTTCATGTGTGGAGGAATTCCCAATTGTAACCTGGCTGTTAGTTGGATGATGCGAGAAAAAATGAGTGATTGTTAGGATTATTTATTGTGTGATGTGTGGTGACGTATTTTTTGTGTTAATAGGAAGAATACTTATCATAATTTGATATTATTGAAAGAAGAGCAATCGAGTAGTTATATGTGAAAAATCTTTTTAGAGAGAAAAAAGATTGACAACTTCCATCCTCAGAATTTCTCGTTGGTTAAGAACAAGGCTTTAAGATATGAAAGAAGTGGTGATAGTTACTTGAAAAAGTGCTGCAGATTTTTTTATTCAATTTTTCTTTCCTTTTTATTTATTTAATGGGGGGAGGGAATATTATAATGTGATATTGTTAAAAGATTTGGGCCCATTATTTCATACATACGCGAAGTGTCCAAAACATCTTTCATTTGTCCTCATTTGTTGTGATAACTCGTCAGTAATGATCTTGGGAGAATTTTATTCCCTGCCAAATATGAATCTCGTTCATCCTGCAAGACTTGTAGCTTTTTTCAGTTTAATGTAATCATGAAAAATACAGCATGTATGTATATTTTTCCAAAATCTTGAATTACCTTTATTACTGAAAAGAATTGCAGAATTTTTAACTTCCAAAATTAAAGCAAAGCAGGTAAAATTCTCTTGTTGAAATGGAAAAATTCAAAATTTAGCCCAATAAGGGAAGGGATGTTACCTAGAAAAAGTCTTGCATGACAGGAACAAGATAAGTAAATGATGGGAAGAAGCATAAGTGAGCTGGCCTCATCTTGAGCAATCAACACATCTTTGCACTCCATGGCTAGAATCTTGCTATTAGCATTCCTTTCTGTTGTATTACATTATAAATTCATAGATCTATCTCTTTGGGAAAAAGAAATGTTTGGAAAACTTATGATGCATGAAAGATTTTTAAATGGTTTTGTTTAAAGGTCTCTACCAATAGTATTGATTATTGATAATATTTTGTGCCCCTTTAGTAGTTTTACTGTGTTTGTGACGTGCTCATTTTAATATTTTCTACAAAAGTTGTACATAGATTGGTGATAACATCACCTAGGTATACACAGGTTCTTTTGTAATTTTTTTAAGCCATGTAGTCCTGCGTCTCATCAATGTACATAGTAATTTGCATATCTCATCTTGTCTTTAGTACATATTGACTCATGTGAAATAAATAAACATTTAAATAAAAGATTTTTTTTACTTTTTTGTCCTTCTTCATTAGCAGCTTGTTTTGTGGCTGTGCCTCAATGAGAAAACATTCTGCACTCCATGGTTGATCTACCTCCTACTGGCTGGGGTACTGTTGGGGAGGGGTTGTGTTTTGTTGCAATGTACATATAGGTGTGTCTTTATTCTTGCATCAAGCAAGGAAAATTTGTCAAGAGAAGCTGTGGATGAAGCTCTAAACAGAAGGATGTTGCATACCTTTTGTCTATTGGAATATAGAAAGAACAGCAGAACATCCTTGAATGATATTTATGGTGCACATGAGAAAAGGTTTGCATGCATGATAGTTAATTATGAGGAATCATACAATAATGATCTTTTGACCTGTGTGCCACAAATATGAATGCATGTTCAGTTCTAAATTATGAAAATATTTACAATTAATTTTAGTATATATTTTTATTTTTCCCCAGAACCGTATTTTTAAATAAAAGGTATTTGCAGAAGTTTAAGCAATTTCAGAATCTTCAGAGTATTATGAAAATTGTCTGGAGGAGGAATTATTGAATAGAATTGGAACAATATTCAAGAGGCCAGGAGACAAAAGGCATGCAATTTCCGACTGGAAATTTGGTGACTGTTTGGAGAGAAAAAAAATGACTGAACAGTAACCTTGAAGCTGTGCATAATAGCTGGAAAGTGCACTGCAGTGTTAAACAAAATACTGGGTATTTCCTGATCAGGATTATTTTCAACATCGCTGGAATTGAAGGAATGACAGAATACAAAACTTAATAATTTTGCTCTATATTCTCTATAGAAGTGGTGAACAACATTTTTCACTCTTCATTTTCTTAAAATTTTATACTGAAAACCAGAATATATATGCACATGCAGTGGATGGGAAGAGAAAGCAATTGGCCATAAAGTTTGAAATTATTATTGGCCAGAATGCAGACCATTAATTTCCCAAAAATTTCATCCATGGACAAATTGTGATTTTTGAGATTAAATATTTCGTGGTATAACTGTAAATTCTGTAACTGACATGCTCTCTGACTCTAATGATTTTATTACATATATTTTTTCTCTGTTTTTGATCTTTTGAGGTGTGCAAACTTTCTGATGCACCACGCTGGACAATTTCTCTGCTGATATTCAAAGTATTTGCAAATTTGACTTCCTTATCACTGCATGTGCATTACAGGTGTAGGATGCACTACCTGTTTTCTATAGAACAGGCATGAATATTAACGCACAGGTCAATACTTGCCAGTTATAGGATGACACTCAATCACAAAATAAACTTTGGAACTTATGGTGAAAAGATGCCGCAATTTTCCCCTTTTGAACACATGTAGAAAATATGCATAAATATAATGATATACCTATGAAAATGTATATTCCATTCATAAATATTTATGTATTTGAGTATTCTGCGATTGTCTTGTGGTAGGAAGAGCCTTTACAACTGTAGCATGGCTATCGCTAAACAAGGACATGCAATTTACACCCAGATGAAAACTGCAGACTAAATAAACAGATAAAATGTTGATGATGTGTATCAATATTTTCCGAAGGTTAATTTTTGAGTTAAAGCAGGACTTGACCAATGAATCAGAAATAAATATTTTCTAAAAAGCAAATTTTGCTATTGAAAAAAAAAAAATCTGAGTGAATTTTAATAAACACGAGACGAAAATATAGAATGTATTTAGGGCTTTTTGCACAAGCAGAACATGTTGCTTAAGAATTAATGCACCATTAAAATGAAGTAAACAGAATAATATCCTTATGCACATACACCAGTTGCCTGCATATGAATGAATGAAATAGTTTCAAAATAGCAAAATACATGATAGTTTGTCAAGGATAAGTACATTTCCAATAATTAGGGAGGTGACTATTGCGTGAATTTTTCACTAATGCAATACTATTACTACTGTATTTGGGAAAACACTATTGCGATAGTTCAATTATTTTGGTATACTTCAGTTAATGTGGTATACTATCACGATAGTATTGGATACTTCAGCTTCCCCAGTTCATTCCGTCAATTTTCTGCTGGTTCGTTGGTATAAGGTAACTTTTGTCTTAAATATGCAAGTTATTCAATAGTAGTCGTAGACTAATGGTATGACGTCAACAACGGTGAGTTGAGTTAGTCAAACATTCTCACAACAATGAGTATAGAGTATTGTGTAATAGTTAATGAGTTATGCAATTAAAAAGCACATACAGCTGAAACTAATATCTGATAGCGACTACTGCGCTCGACTCCTTGTCCGTGTGCGTATAAATGATAACAACTGAATTATCAGTAGTTGTAATAGCATGGTATGATAATGAAAATCGTTAGTGTTAGTAGTTTTGAATCTGTTGATTGTTTAGCATACTATCGACGATTGTTATCAAGTTTATGAAGTTGTCGTAGATTAATCAAACCGAGAGGTGTACAATCGCAATCTATCGACAGTACGATGTGTTGTTACACCACTACCAATAATGTACCAGAGTACATACAAAATTGTAACTCCTTCAGAGTTATTCTAAATTATCGCTACTGCATTTTCTTTGTACGAGCACATCGGTGAAGTTTTGCCTAGCCAATGATGCATAAGGCTAAATTGATGGACCCCATGACAATTTTTGTTATGATTCTCTGTTCATATAATGTTTTTGCATATGTATTATACAAAAATAGAAAAAGAAGCTTGTGTGAATATCTTAACTACATTAATTTAGGACAAAGGTCAATTATTGATTAAATAAAATACATTTACCCAAACATAAAAATCTTAAACAAGTTTAAAATTTAAATAATAAAATCTACGGTTAAGAAAGTTTTATAACATCAACTTGTAATGACACTTTACTCGTGGCAACAATGTACGCATGAAGAGGGTGACAAATCCCAAATTCATAGTTTTAGAGAGAGATATAAATGAAATTCCAAAAACACAATTACATAGCCAAACATCAATGCTGTAACCTCTTGACACGGTTCAATTCTTCAAAAGTAACATCAGAAAAATATAGCAAACAATGAAGTGGACCTGCTGGATTACTTCCTGAAACCCAGTGTTGCGAAGGAAACCCATGCCCATGTTACCAAGAAGCAAATCATATTCACTATTTTAGGATCACCAATGAAGAAGGCAAAGGGTCATGCGAAAAGAGGTGGAACTCCAAAGCAAGGCAGAGGGAAATTCAATAAACGACAGGTAGGTAAAATGTAGTATGGAAAGTTCTGAACACTTGAAGAGTGTTGCAATAGAAAAATAAAAATTATCAGACAAGTTGCAATCCAGGAAATGGTATGATAGGCTACCCCAAATTCATCAACAGTTCATCAGGATAACATTTGTGCACACATGAAATGTCGCTCCCATTTGGATACCTGAACATTTTGAGAGAAATGGACAGTTTCTTGCATCTTTCTCAAATTTAAAACATCCCATTATTCTCGGGTCATTCTTATTTGGGGATATTGTAATGTCACTTTCCATCCCATCTTTCTTTCCACACAAATTGAGTACCTGTGGGCGAACTTGATGCAAAAATTACACAACACTTCCTCAATTCTGGAAAACTAGTTTCCCCATGACACTGAAATTCCTGTGAAGTGATCAAACTCAAATTCAGACCTTATTTCATTATGGAAAGTGCATGCTCAGATTCGCTTTTTAGGTGTTAAGATCACTAGCACTATAAATAGAAGGTCCTGTTGGCAGATGACCAAAGTAAAAGCATAAATATATTATTTCACATTTCCCAAAAAAAATCGGGACAATTTAAACTGGTGTTTTACTGTTATCATCTCCATCCATCTCAATACTTTGCTTGTCTAGTTTTTAGCATGCTTGCACAATATTATAATGATTGTCCCTACACTCCTGACACTTTTAAACCAAATTCCATGCAACTTGCTCTTGACAATATAACCTGCACAGCTTGTTATGATACACATGTAAGCTCTACTTTCACCACCAGCTCATCAGATTAAGTAGGTATACACCATAAAGTTACCTATAGATCTGCAATTGGTACACTGTACACCATGCTGTCGGACTCGCACAATGATGATAGTGGACATATAATGTACATTCTAAAATACACCTGTTCATTTTAATTAGGATTTGTAGATATATTTTGAATTAGTTACATTCTATTCTGCTCAAAAGTGAATCCGTTGACAATAATTACAAATCGCCATAAGTTAGAACATCAGTTTTAACACTCGGAATAAGTTTATGAAACAAGAATGTATGAATAACAAATACAATTCACTTGTTATACCCTTTTATCCAAATTTCTTCCCAAAAACTAATCGGTTTGATGTGACCCAAGTAGTTTTCAGCTAATTTGGCTCAAATAGCCTTGTGAGCTTATGTCCTGTTCCTTTTTCATTGTCAATTTTGACAAAAAAAATGGCCTGTATCACTGCTGGTCAAGGGGACAACATTTTATAAATGGATGTGCCGACAAAAGAATTAACCTTGACACATTTTCAAAATCAGTGGTCAAAACTTTTTATAACACTTAGTGACTTTGCAAAAAGCCTAATGTCATCTTTTGATAGTAGCATGCTAAAATAAAGTGAAAATTTGTGAAAAGAAATAACCTTGACCCAGGTTGAAGGTCATAGGTCATACTTGTTAAAACACTTAACAGCTTCTAAAGATCCTCAAGCATGATATTTAGCCAGTACCTTACTGAAATGTACATATAACAGCACTAGGAAGTTTGCAAAAAGATTCCATCTAAAGTCATGTGCGTGCCTTCATGATCCTGAGGGGCTCCTGCAACCTAAGGTCATGGTCCCGTACCAAACGAATTTTACATAGAATAAATGGAGGACATGGCCTCTTAAGGGACAGAAGGACAGAGCCCCAATAGGTGAAATAAAGGAAAGTCCTACACCCAGAGTATGAATAAATTAATTTTGACCAAATTAGATCTAGAGTACTTCTGGGCCAACAACAATGTCATTTAGAATCCCATATGGGTTGAGGATTCAATTTGGACATTGCAACATTTTTTTTTACAAATATAAAATAAAAATTACATGTAATAAAATTCTGGTAATCTAGTCAGAAATTGCATGACTTAAAACCAAAGACCAATATTTTATGTTTCATGGACTTTGATTAGCAGTATTTCTTTGGTTCAGCTTCGAGTAATAATAATGATAATAATAATTTGAGGTTCTTATATACACCGCTTTATCACAATCTAGTTTGTAGGTCGTCTGAAAACCATTCAAATTATTATCCATGGTTATAGGGCCTTTGCAACCAGCCAATATCTTTCTCGACTCCCTGGGGAGCATACAGCCAGTGCTGCCATTTCGGCGCTAACATTCAACAATTCCAGTACTGCCCAACCACATACTCATTTACAGCTGAGTAGACTGGAACGGTCGGAGTAAAGTATCTTGTTCAGAGATAAAACACAGTGCCGTGACTCGAACCCGCAACCCTTCAGTCACGAGCCTGGCGTCACCTCCATTCCAATCAGCGAGAGTTGATGCATATGTTTTACAAATCTTTGATGGTTTTCAAACATCCATTTATATCATGAATAAAATAGTGCCACTACAATTACCTACCAGTACTCCTGGTAAATACCGGTACAGAGCAGTTCGAAGACTGCAGATGTCAAAGCTAAATTTCACTTTGATTTAACTCAAAGTTAAATAATATGGTATCACTTAACATGCTATATTTGGTCACCAAAATATAGCATTGATTTCTTTTTCTAAGGCCCTGAATCTTGGATGCTGGTGCCCTATAGTAATCATGGTGTCCATCAACACTGCAATGGGGTTCCAAGATTCTAAGGTCAAAGACACTTAATAAAAATGGATGATAGGGGTACAGTCCCCATTTCAGTATCCAAAAGACTAGTCTTTTTCAAATTGCACATGGTGATGCACTGCGATATATAGATATACATAATGTGTTGGCTGTTTTGTTTTTAGCTCATCTGGTCCGAAGGACCAAGGTGAGCTTATGCCATACCGTGGCGTCCGTCTGTCCGTCCGTCCGTATGTCAACAATTTCTTTCAACGACTTCTTCTTCTTAACCACTGGTTGGAATTAAACTAAATTTGACTGGAAGCATCCCTAGGTGGTGGGGATTCAAAATTGTACAAATGGTGGGGCTGAGGGGCGGGGCCAAAAGGGGTCAATTTGCCCATATTGCTTTAAGCGACTTCTTCTCTGAAACTAAGAAGTGGATATCAACCATATTTGACTGGAAGCATCCCTAGGTGGTGGTGATTAAAAATTGTACAAATGGTGGGGCTGACTCCCCAGGGGGCTAAGGGGCGGGGCCAAAAGGGGGCAATTTGGCTATATTGCTACAAACGACTTCTTCTGTAGAACTGTGCACTGGATATCAATCATATTTGATCAAAAGCATTCCTGGGAGGCAGGGATTTAAAATTGTACAAATGGTGTGGCTGACCCCCCAGGGGGCTGAGGGGCAGGGCCAAAAAGGGTATTTGGCTATACTGCTTTAAGTGACTTCTTCTCTGGAACTAAGTGATGGATATCAACCTTATTTGACTGGAAGCATCTCTAGGTGGTGGAGATTCAAAATTGTACAAACGGTTGGGCTGACCCCCCAGGGGGCTGAGGGGCGGGGCCAAAAGGGGGCAATTTGGTTATATTGCTATAAATGACTTCTTCTGCAGAACTATGCCATGGATATTGATCATATTTGGTCGGAAGTATTCATGGGAGGCAGGGATTCAAAATTGTACAAATGGTGGGGCTGACCCCCCGGGCTAAGGGGTGGGGCCAATAAAATGTATTACTTGGAAATGGTTGAGATCCCCACCATATAACCATATATACAATTGCTGAGTATAAAGAGAAGAATGCACATTTGCTTCCAGGATGTCCCTAGGGTCTGGCCCCACCCTTGGAGACATAGTCCCTGGGCCATAACTTTAAAACGGTTGAGATCCCCACCCCAAAACTATATATACAAATGCTGGGCATAAAGAGACGAATGCAATCATGATATCAGAATAGACCCTGGGGTCTGACCGAACCCCTAGGGACCTAGTTTCTTAGTCACAGCTTGGAAACAGTTGAGAGCCCCACCCTATAACCGTATATATACAATTGCTGAGTATAAAGAGATGATTGCACATATGCTTCCAGGTTGGCCTTGGGGACTGCCCCACCCTTGGAGACTTAACCCCTGGGTCATAACTTTGAAATGGTTAATATCCCCACCCCAAAACTATATATACAATTGTTGGGCATAAAGAGACGAATGCAGTCATGATATTAGAATTGATCCCAGGGTCTGCCCCACCCTTGCAGACTTGGCCCCTGGGTCATAACTTTGAAACGGTTGAGATCCCCACCCCAAAACTATATATACAAATGCTTGGCAAAAAGAGACAAATGCAGTCACGATATTAGAATCGATCCTGGGGTCTGGCCACAACTCTAGGGACCTAGTTTCTGAGTCAAAGCTTGGAAACAGTTGAGATCTCCACCCCATAACCATACATAAAATTGCTGGGCATGAAAAATCTAATATAGCTATGCTACAAGGATTGGCCTTGGGGTCTGGCATATTCCCTTGATCTCATTTGGAGAATAGTTTGCCATGATTGCTTAGGTATCCAGGTGAGCGATACAGGCCCTCTGGGCCTCTTGTTTTAAGAAGGTTGAGGTTGCTTTTTATTCTCCCTAATATATGGGCTTTGTCCACCTAACTTAAGAATGGATTGCAAGATTCCTATAGATGTTAGGCTTGATTCACTGTAAACTGAAGGGGAAAAAAATTCAAACACCTATATCCAGAACAAATGATTGCACATAACTTTTTATGTAAGTTCCTCGAGGGAAAACAAGAATCCTATTGATTTTAATAGTGATATGTCAAATGGATCTTCACAGAATGAATAGCCTGTTCAGATGGTAATTCAAGAATTAATGATCACACAAAGATCAACCCTAGTATGTGGGTTGCCCTTGGAAGCATGAAGAACTGTACCAATTTTTGACTTGGTTTGTCAAAGGTCAACTTATTGAAATTATAAGTTTTGTTATCTGGTTCCATTAACATCAGAACACAAAGGCTCAGATTTGGGGTGTAAGTTGGCATAGCATAGAGGAAAAAATCTTTTGCTTTTGGGCATGGTGTGCCAAAGCTCGACGTCAAAGTCACTGTTAATAAGATTGGAGTTTTACATATTTACCGGTCAAGATGCTTTCTTGATATATATTAAAGTGGAAGAAAAAAACCTTGGGTTGTTTTAGATGTGGTTCATCAAAGTTCAAGGTCACTTGTAATAAATTTCTAGTCCAGATGCTACATTCAGTTATCAGGTCAGACTTTGTATATGGTATGTGGGGCAAGTTTGTGCTTTTAACATGCATATTATCTGTCTTGTCAAAGAAAAAAAGACATGATTATGAATTTCAATCTCTAGATGCCACCAGCTGCTTCTGGACCCATGTCACCGCCAGTGAAGATTACAATTGGAGCTGGGATGATGTCGCCCAAGCAACCACAGCAACTGCAGTCTCCACCTCCTTTGGTGCAGACACGCCAAACACTGCCTCCAGCGATTCCTCCAGGACAGCAATCCATTCCCCAAAACGACCATTTTTCTTCCCTTCCTGCAGACACCAGTTATGGACAGATGCCTCCAAGAATGGGAATGAAGTCTGATCCCCTTCAGCTACCAGCTTATCCTCCCTCCACACAGCATCATATGGTTCATCAGCCACAACCACCTCATGTACAGCCCACATCCGTGGTGGGCCAGCCAATGTCTGTCATACAACAGAAACCAGCTTCCCCTGGCAGAGGTATGTCTAGACTTGAGCTTTCTAAAAATGTTAATTACTTTGATTACTGCATTATCTTGAATGACAGTTGATACTTGTAAGGAACATTCAACTGTGTCAAAATATGAAAAGCTTAATAAGTAACACTTTAGCACACATCAAGACTATTAAGTCGATTTAATAGATAATTCAGTCTAAAGTGGATATTATTGCATTCAATACCATATTCAAATACATTAAAAGAAATGAGATGATTTAAAAAAAAGTTGTTTTTTTAAAGTCAATACATACTGTCCTTGATAGACATTAATTATTTGATGATCTTTGTTCAGTAAATGTGTTGTGTGTAGGGTATCTGTCCTCTTGGTTTTGATTTTCGTATTTATCAACAGGACCCCACTGATTGAGTTTGATGGAGGAAAATTATACTTTTACAGTGGTAGAATTATTGACTTAGAATCTGTTGTCCTTATATGTATTCCTCCCCTGCAGGTTTGAGAAAGAAAAGGCCTGCTGTATCCCACTACATATTGTGAAAGGCGACTAATGTTTGGAGGCCCTACAGAATTTGGGGCTTTCTTCTGTGTCCTCTGCTGAGGGGACTTAAAACAGTTGATCTGCTGTCCCCATTGCAACATTTTGATCTTACTATTTGTGTCTCTACTTCCTGAAAACCTTTTTGTTACCTAGTGCCTTGCTTGACAATCCTCACTTTTGGCTTTAGTTTTTGTAAACTACAAAGCCATGTGCAATACATACAACAAATTGTTGAAAACTTGTCATAAGTGTGTTCACAGCGATGATAGAAAATGTAATGTTGGTTTTAAAGAGAAATTAGATTGGCAAAATTTTACATCATATTTTTTTTCAGTGCCCTGCATCAGAAGTTATCCAAGTGTTTCTCGGTCAATCCACTCTTTCATTGCTCTCAGAATCTAGATGTCTAAAATTTCTGTTTTTTTTTCATATTGACAGTGCCCCCACCATCGAGACCTGTGACTCATTCACTACCACAACAGCCTAGTCGACCTAGTGCCATGGCCACAGCAAAGCCACCATCAAGGCCTATAGCCTCCAAGCCAGTCTGTAAGCATAGTGCTTAAGCACACATCAAGAACGTAACGCATCACTGTGTGCTTTTAATAGGTCAAATTTAGAGAGAAAGAAACAAAAATGGAAGTATCTGCAATAAAAATCGCAACATTCTCTATTTAGCAGATATTTGAACAATTTAGTAACATGGAAAATAAAGTGTAGTTCAAATTACCTTTGAAAGAACATTTTACAGTATTATCTGTTACAAGTATTTTTCATAGCAAAATGTCCTGACTCCTCATCATTAAGAATGCGTTTCATCCATGTATTCCCAGTACATCTGAAGTCATCATAATTAATAATATTATTCATTTCAGCAATATCAAACCATATTGGAATATCTTCTCGGCCATCGCCTTTACAGTCACCCCCCATTATTGTGAGCTCCCCTGTCAAGACATACCCTGACACCAAGCCTCTGTCTCCTCCAGTTTTAATAGAACGGTCACAATCTAGAGGATCGGAACAGATGGCACGTTTTTTCCTCAGTGACGAAGATTCAAGTAACAGTCCCAAGCACAGTCCACCAAAGAATGTTCCCCCAGCACCTCCAGGAGCAACTATCTGTAAGTGTCATATGCAGCTCTTTTAATGATGACATATTGAGCATGAGGTTAACTGAACATTTGATCGAGAAGATTGAGTAATTTTTAGCTCGCCTGGTCCGAAGGACCATGGTGAGCTTATGCCATACCACAGCATCCGTCCGTCTGTCAACTTTTCCTTTAAAACACTACTAGTCATGAACGACTGAGCAGATTTTAACCAAATTTGATCAAAAGCATCCTTGGGGGAAGGGGAACAAATTTTGTATAAATGGTGGGTCTGGCCCCCCCTGGGGGCTGAGGGGCGGGGCCCAATAGGGGAAATATAGCAAATTCTTTAAAATCCTTCTTCTGTAGGAATGAAAGGATTTGTTCCATATTTGGTCTGAAGCATCCTTGGGAGAAGGGGAACCAATTTTGTATAAACCATGGGTGTGGCCCCCCAGGGGCCTGAGGGCTGGGGCCCAATAGGGGAAACAGCAAATTATTCTTCAAAATTCTTCGTCTGTAGGAATAAAAGGATTTGGTCCATATTTGGTGTAGAGCTTCCTTGGGTAAAGGAGAACCAATTTTGTATAAACGGTGGGTGTGGGCCCCCCCCCCCCTTCTTCTACCATAGGGATTAAGGGATATTATCCTAATTTAGTCTGGAGCATCCTTAGGCAAAAGGGACTCAATTTTGTATAAACGGTGTGTCTGACCCCTCTGGAGGCGGGGCCCAATAGGGGAAATACGGGTAAAACCTTTGAAATCCTTCTTCTACCATAGAGATTAAGGGATTTTATCCTAATTTAGTCTGGAGCATCAAGAGGAAGAAGGGCGGGGCCCAATAGGAGAAATAGAGGTAAAACCTTTAAAATCCTTCGACCATCAGGATTATGGGATTTTATCCTTATTTAGTCTGGAGCATCCTTGGGTCAAGGGGATTCAATTTTGTATAATTGGTGGGTATGACCCCCCCTAGGATGCATATAGGGGTAGGGCTCTGTTTGAAGTTTGTTCTCGCTATATCTCAAGTACTGGATGGATCTTTTTGAAATTTCATATGTACTTACAGCACCTACTTCATACCAATTATTTTAAACATATTCAGGTGAGCGATACAGGCCCTCTGGGCCTATAACACACTGGAACAGTTGGTCAAATGACCTGAAATAATTATGGAAACCTGTATTGCAATCGATTGAAAATATATATTTGACTTATTCATGTACTTGTCAGAATTTTACACAAAAGTCGGGTTTTACTAGACTTTCTTTTTAAACATTTTAGCTGCAAGTGGCGTGGGTATATCGTTCGGAGTGGGCAGCAATAACACAATGCCAGGTGGAGGCGATCCTGGCCGTAAGCCAGACAAAAACATGCTCTCTCAGGTTAAAAAGGTGAGACACAGATATTTTATTGTTGAACAAATTTCTAATGTTTAAGCTCACTTGGCAGTAAAAGCCATGTGAGCTTATGCCTGTAGCTTGCTGGGTGGAAGATTATAGTTTTTCAAAAATAAAGACCTTAACTTATCCTCAATCTTTGCTTTGGTCAGATGAGTTTGATTCTGCTTTAGAACCAAAGTCATAGAGTTATGATAGTTAGTCCATAGTTTGCTAGATGGAAGGGTTGGGTCAATGAATTAATATCTATTAGTCCATATCTAGGTTCCAGTAATTGCTTCATGGATAATATATATTAAAGTGTTAAATGTTGCAAACTAGATGTGATTGTCATCATCGTATTCATGTTAGCATTATTTCCTCATGCATTATGTTTGATAGATTTCTAAAGGCATATAGCAACATGAAATGTATGCTATATCGTAACTTGGGCATCTAATCCCGAGTTGTCCACAGAATAGGGGATATTGATAATAGCATCATCTCCAGTCAAAATCCAAGATTTCATTATGTAGTGTGCTTAATATAAGATTTAGTGAACAATCAAGCATGAAACAGAAATTAAAAATTGTGTTATTTTATCCTTTGAAGGACCAGTTTAAACTCAAGAATGCTGGGTCTTGGACCAGCCTAGCCAACATGGGAGCCACAACATCCTCCTCTAAGAAGCACACATCTCAGAGCTTTGAGATATTCAAAAAACAAGCCAAAGAAAAGGAAGAAAGGGTAAGGAATGAAATATTTGGTTCAGCCACTTTTTTGTATTGCAAATTTAATTACGGTATGTTGCTGATAGCATTTCAATTCAATATCCAGCATGTAAACAGCAAAACAGTGACCAGCAGTCAATTCCTTTCTTTATTCTCTACAAAAGTATAGCATTATATATTTTAAATATGATATGACTAAATATTGGTTTGAATATTTAAATGATTATTTCTGTATGGTTGTTGGAGTATTGAAAAAAAATCATGTGCCTGTAGGTATACCAGACAATCTATTTATTGTGAAACATATTTTATCAGGAACGAGCATTTAAAGAGCAAGCAGAACAAATAAAAATTCAGAAAATCAATGCTGAGAAGGAACGTCATCGACAGGAACAAGAGAAAATAAGGTTAGTTTGGTGTCAATAACATTCACACAACGATTGTAAGATGCTGACATTAAGGTGTACTCAAATATGATGCTTGGAGCATACACTAGAACTAGTGCGATCTCTGTCAGCACAGTAACACTGTTACAATTTATCTTGATAGCCTTAGTTTGCACAAGAATTGATAGAAATATAGAAAACTATCAGATAATATCTAAATGGCATATAAATATAGATGTTAGTGTTGGGAATCACTTGTAAATTCATACTCGATCATCACCTCCAATTAAGTGACTAATGATCGCTCAAATTGAACTTAAATTCAGTAATTTAAGGTTATATTCGCTTTCGGAAATCTACTTTCACTTTCATTAACAGGGCTAAAAACCCACAACATTCATACAAAAAACAATAAGTTTGTTGACAGAACCTTATAATTATTGAAAAATATGTATTTGGAAATGAAATTGATGATGTTTGCAATGTCCATTATGCTGTGACAGCTGCATCTCGTATTCAGAAATGCTGCGATGGATTGGCATTCACCTGTGACATCCCGTCAAACTTAACATTGTAATATAGCCAACACTTTCAACAAAGTGTTTTATTTATATCCAGCTAAGGACAAACAATACCTTGGGTTCCAAACATTTAAATCAGTAGCCCCAGGATGATCATGGAGTTTAATCTCCGAAATGTCCTGGTTTGCTATATTGTCACGCACTGACTGAGCCATGCGGCATTCCTATAGAAACGATTCTGATTGGTTGTCGGGTGGAATGACTAGCCAATCAGCGTCGTCGTTGTGCGAGATGTTCGGTCAAATTGTTTTGCCCAAGACGGTAATAACAGTATCCAAGTTTATTTTTGTTAATACTTCAATTAGTCAAACTATGATTGATCATGGAAAACAAGGATCAATAAATCGATTTTCAGAAACAAACCAGACGTCGACTAAACTGATTAATCGGAACAACACTGAATTAGATGTAATACAATTTAATACCGATAGCTTGTGTAAGACAATTCCAAAGAAAAGTGATTTTCATTATGTGCTTGAACTGGTCAGTGTGTCTGCAAAACACCTCAGTTTTAAATTTAAAGTTTTTAGTATGAATTGAAGGAATTATTTACATGTGTTTTGTATTTCAGAGAAAGAGAGGAAGATGATGCTTTGGCACATGCAAGGCGAGCTCAAGCTCTGCACGAGGAAGTACTCAAACAGAAAGAAGCAGAGCGCAATGCAGCAAAACAAAGGGAACGCATGAAGGAGCAGGAAAGGCGAAGAAGAGAGGCTGTAAGTAAACTAGATACAAGGCTTTGAAAATAGATATTGGATGCTTGGAACATTGTTTTACAGACCTAAACTACAATTTGGTAGTCTTATGTTTGTGTCTGTTCTGTTTTTACTTTAAGATACAGACATTATATCTTTATTTTGCAAACCTATACCATTCCTCATAAATAGTAATATTTAGAGATAACCGTTTTGAAAATCTATGAAGAAACTATTTCTGATGTGTATTTATTGCTATTCTTATATCAGACTTGGAGTCTAAGCATCTGAGCTTCATAATGAGTGGTAGTTTCCTACCCGAGTTTTGCTATGGTGGGGCTGAGCACCTTGGACAGAATTTTTTCCCATAGTTTTGAAGTCAAATTGAGTAATTTTGTCAGACATGTTAGTTAGCATGGCCTTTGGTAATATGCATTCATTGTTGTTCAAATTTGAATAAACATTTTCATTTTCATTTCTTTGTTCTAGATGGCACATAGGATAGATATGAATGCACAGAGTGAGCTAATGGCATCATTTGAGGAAATGCTGTGAGGATGGCTGTTGGCATAGATATTGACAATAATATGAGCTGCTGAGATCATCAAGACTCATTTTTAAGCTTAAAAATGTTAACACATTGAAAGCAGATATTGGTTGCTCTTCCTGTTAAACCAGTGGCGTCTATAGTGTAGTTCATGAAGACAGTACTTTAATGTTGTGCAGTTTTACTGGATCTAACACTGCCCCTCCCCTGATGGCTCTGACATTGGCAACTATGGACATCGACTCAATTAATCTGATGCCATTGAATGTAATACAGAGAAAGATGTGATATCCAGTATTAAATGAGTATCATGATGGCACAAACAGGCACCGTCTGTTGCAGAAGCAATATTGAACGGCTGTGTGTAAAACTGAAGTTTCTCTGTGAAACAAGACTGAATCTGTTAGTGTAGAAAAGAAGTCTGCAGTTGAAATTTTGCTTGTCTGTTCATTGACAAGGACAGAATATTGTTATGCTGCAGAACAGACGTAGATGATTTTATCGTCTTTTAATTAAGACAACTTGTAAATCTGACGCTGTATATATGAGTGGAACGTTTGGTGAGGATGGTACTGGACACTGCTAATAGTATAGTGATGTGGTTGGTTGAGACTAGATAGATATCAAGAATGGTGCTTTTATAACCTGGTTCAGTCTAAACTTCATTCAGTGTAATTACACATGTTGTATGTAATGGAAGGTAAAAAGTCTTTAAACTATTATAGCTGCGAGACTTGTGTCGTAAACTTTGTATGTCCTTTATTGTATATTTTCATTTGGAAGCTTAAAGCGACACAACTTCCTACCTGTAACAAACATGACTTTGTCTTGTGTATGAAATACATTTGAAGGCGTTCATGTTATAAATAAGGAAGCTGTCACTTGTATGATATAAATGATATTTAAATGTAATCTCTGGGAAGGGCACCTTGCCATCATGTTACATAAATGAAGCAACAATTACGCATACTCTGTTCCCAAAACAAACAAAAAAATGTTAAATGTTGTGCGTTCTTAAATCCAATAGTCATGAACTGTTAATCTGGTCACCAACATTCCGAAGAAAAGAAAATCTGGAAGAAAATGATGGGAATGGGCTTGTTTTGGGAACAAATCCATGACCCAGAGTCATTAATCAGGGAGATATATAATCCAGATTTTGTTTGGAATGTAGAAGTGTTCAAATTAATGAGTGCAGACTGTACTGTAGGTTTTCAAAATTTATATTTGGTGTAAATTTTAAATGTTGTCATCAAGTTTTGTATGTGTATGTATGGTAGATGGATGGCTGGGTCATTGAGCATAAGTGGGAACAGGAATTTCCTCTGGTTCAGGAAACTTGTTAAAAGATATCGTATACGATCACATTGATTAATTAGGTTGTTAAACTTGAATCATTTGAATTTTTGAAAATTGACATGATTGAAATAAAAATCTCCAGAGAGAGATGTATATGTACAGATAAATAAAAGTAATATATGAAATCTTGACCTTTGAGAATTGTTGTGTAATTTGTAGTAGTTCTTGTTATTCCTTCTTATTTTTAAAGCCAAAATTCTGTTTTTAGAACTAGTGGTGGCACATACACTATAAATTCTCTTCAAAGATTTGTTTTTATCTCCAATGTCAATTTGCAATCAGTTTTGAGAAATTCAGTTAATTCTTGAAAGCAATTCAGCATTTTTATGGTTTGCATCTAAACTAAATCATTACAGTATAAATAATACTTATGAGTAGTGTGAATTAGGATTGTTCCGGAATTATCATATAGGGAAGGAGGCACTTTTGGGAGGCTGCACCACTCATCAAATGTTAAATTGGGGTGAAATATATGTATGGAATGGTATAAGCAGGCCTTGATTTAACACCTCCACATCTAATAATACAAGTGCCTCCCACATCCCCATACAATTAATTCATGGAATAGCCTTAATACTAAAACTGAAAATCTGCAACAGTAACATAATCCCTGCAAGTTTCTGTTTAAACTGTATCATGTCTCCATTCAAACTTGGTCCGTTCTATCATTCAATGAAATGAAAGTGTAGATATTTCATGGTTTGGTTTTAACACTTGGCTACACTGCTTTATACTAGTACTTTTTCATATAATGCAAGTTGCTGGAATGGGAGTAGAGAGTCGTCATTCATTCAAGATTGTTGCACATTTGGAGATTTGCTTTTTCCTTTTGTACTTTATAGCAACATTTTCATGCTTTCATTCGTTTCTCTTTTATTTTTGTAACAATGACATCATTTCACATACGAGTTGTGGCTTTATTATGTCCAGTATGACTGTTTTTTCATAGCTGTAATGTAAATATCTCATAACATCTTTATAGTATCGAAAGAAATCATATACATAGAAATAGGTGTAAGTGAATTGCAAAGGTGCAGTACATTTTGTTTGTGTAATTTATTCCAATATATGTTTTGATAGCAGCTGATTGTACATACCCATATCATTCTTCCTCGCCAATGGTCAGGTAAGACCCGTTCCATTTGAGTCCCACACATGTTGGTAAGTGGAAGTTCATCATCACGCAGAGTGCATCCATTTCCACTTGCCTTGAGCATAATAATGTAAGATTACATGTATTGAGTGATTCTGTCACTATCAGAATGTATTATTGTGGTACATTGACTTATTTTTCGTAGCATTATATGTACTATAGTTAAAATCACCCTGTAGTATCAAAACCCATGTGCAATGAAAAAAATGTCTATGAATCTGAATTTTCAGCTCAATTATTGAAATTTTGAACCCTTGTAGTAGAGTCTTATCAACTTTGTCATGAGGACGTTTTTAAACAATTATATTTTCAAATATAGACTAAGAATCAATTCATTTTTTTTTTTAGTAAATAACATTGAAAATTAAATCTCAATATGCAGTCTCGATCATTTCTTCTCGTATTAGTTTTGTATTTAATAACTTTGCCTACCAAAGATGTTTTCAAGCTACTCTATTAGATGTTATATTATGGAATATATTGGTCAATTGAGTCTTATTTCTGATTTATTGTAGGCTGTGATTGACATCTGTAAAAGAATATATTTGAAAATGTTTTTCTATTGTATTATTATTTTTTATTCAAGAACTGACCGTAATTATTTGAAGACTTGTTCCTCTAAAAATGTTTTCCTTTAACTGGTTGGACCAGCCTGTATCTACATTTGGTATCCATATACTCTCATGGATTTTGGATTTTAGATTAACTTAGTACCGGCTGTTGATAGTCTGTTTCAACTTGATAATGGAAAGGAAACCAATACTCCACTGGTATATCATGTGAAAACGGAACCTTGCAGGGTTATAACGGTCAGTCCCTCACAGTTGTTGTCATGTGTAGTGCAAACTTCTCTAGTTTATAACTACATCTTCAGTAGCAAGATTGTGTTTTCTATAACTTTGTATTCTTGTGTGTTCTGTCAAGGCAGAATTGTGTAAAATGACAGTCTTGTGTATCATATGCTGTTGATTGTTTTGCTGCAGCTTGTAATCTCAAATCGTTGATCACTTTAATCAATTATCATGTCAATATTACATGAAAAAATAAAGTACTTCAAGACCTATGATATTTTGCATTGGCTTGTTATATATGTCAAAGGTACCTGTATCGATCATAGTAGTTATGCGTTATCACCAGCATTCATGAATGTAAGAAAATCAGGTAATGATAAGAAAAATTGTGTAACTTAAATAAATTTTAAGTTATCATTTATGCATTGAAACATCCCCTTGGCCCACGGATGCTCTGGATCATTTTTAAAATCCTTAACCATAGTGGCCAGTAGGATTTTTAGGTCAGCTGAGCTTTAGCTCAAGTGACCTATTGCTATCTGTCTTCGTCCGTTGTCCGTTAACATTTTACATTTTCAACTTAAGCTGAAATACTGGCAAAGGGATTTTATTAATATTTCATGGGAAGGTGTTGTTATTTTTCGGGTCGATCAGAAATCCAATATGGCCGCCATTTTGAGAAACTATTTCAAACTTGGAAGTCAAGTTCTACTGGGCCGATTGAACTGAAACTTTGTAGGAATGATTGACTCATGGTCCTGATAAAATGTTGTTATTTTTCGGGTCGATCAGAAATCCAATATGGCCGACACGGCCGCCATTTTGAAAAAACTATTTCAAAACTAAAAACAAGTTCTATAGGGTAGCCAATTTAACTGAAACTCGGTCTAGGAATGATCAGCTCATGGTCCTGACAAACTTAAGTTAACGTTATACTTAACTATTTTGTACTCAAATTGGTACATATTTTAACAACAAAAATAAATACTGTAGGACTCAGGTGACCGTTTAGGCCCATGGGCCTCTTGTGTAGATTGACCTTAACATTACCTTATGTCAAGTGCCCCATTCACTATAAAAGGTTGATTCTTCTTGCTCCAAGGATTTTACTAACAATATTTGGATTAAAACACCAGTACTCGGAAAAGCAGGATAATTTACCTTCATTTCTTGTTGGGACCTGGCCCACTACTTGCCCCCGGGAGAGGTGGCGCACCCTTATTTATGCAATTGTAGAGTTATCTTGGCCCAACAATTCATTAATAAGGGGGCAAATTTGTTTTTAGCTTTAAATGCCTAAAACTACAGGGCAGTTTCAATGGAAAAGTGGTAGCAATTCTAGCTTATGGTAGTTCATTAAATACAAACTTGTCCAAGATATTTGTGAACACCAACATTAAGTTTTGAGACAATAGAATAGAATTGATGTCATTTATAATATGTTCACATACATGCACCCATACTTCAGGGAAGATCTGTATATATTCTTGATGACTGCTAATGAGGTTATAATGAAGGTACTGACCTATCTGGGTCCAAGGAAGGGGGTTTACTTTAGAATCAAATTTGTGCACTTGCTTGTCACAATACTTCCCAAACTTTTGGGCATCTGAATTCCATGGGGATACAAAGTTCACAAGCTTTCTTTTAACTGCATCGATGCAATGGCAGTGTGATTTTTTACATGCCCCTTCTACTTACTAAGGGATAAGATAAAGAGGCTGAGGAGTGGAGTCAAATTGTCTGATTTTGCTGTAAAAGACATCTCCCAAACAATCTATAGTCGCCGACTTCCAGATAAACTCAGGTGTTAAAAAATGAACATGGGGGCCCCAAGATCTGATTTCAGTATGTGTTTTAGTACTTAAAATACTTCACAATCCCATGAGTTATTTGCATGCAATATTGGCTGTTGTAGCTAGAAAGAATACGTATGATATGCACTGGACACATTGATGCACTGACGGACATAACAAACCCATACTCCCATCAGGTAGTACTGGGTAGGGGACTAAGTAAAGTGGCTAACATTCCTTGGGGCAAATTTTACATAAAACAGTTTCACTTTCAAAATACCTTGGTGATGGTTCAATGAATACTGGCCTTATATTTTGAAAATATTTTGCCTGGTTGCTTATAAATAACCCTGATGAGCGATACAGGCTCTCTAGACCTCTTGCTGCTCATCTATTTATTATAACCCAAGAAATGAAAGAGTCTGATGACATTTGTACCATGAAAACCAAACGTATATTCTTTACATTCACCAATTTATTCAGATAGGATAAAACAACATACCAATATGATGTAGTCTCCATATACATATTTAAGAAATACATCATTTTACAGTCGGGGCTATTCCAGATATGAATACAGGGGAAACATATTTGATAATGTATAGGTGATTGGGTATAAATAATAGTTAACATAATACAGTGCATTCTAGCAAAACAAGTAGTTCTAGGTGGTTGAATTAACAAAGAAGTGCCTCCCTGACACCCCACCAACCTCACCTCTGTAAACTAGTTTCTGAAATAACGTAACATCTTTGTATATATATATTTGTGGACAACTATTTAGTACTTTCTACACAACAAACTTTTCTTCAAGTTTCCATTCAATCATAGGTAACAGAAACTTAATTTCACAATATTATAATTACAAATGCATCATAAAAACCAAATTTATTTTATTAACAATCATACTCAAAAAAAGAACAATGCACTCTGGATATTCGTGTTAGAAAATCCATCTTTTAAGAACTTTCAACCAGTGCATACAATAGTTTTACATAAACTACTAACATTTTGGTTTGACATTGCATGCATTTATTAACACTAAATTACCATATATATTAAATACTTGTATGTTTATGACTACAGATTCATTCAACACTGAAGATGGTCGCTTCTTCCTCAAAGATAAAGCCAATCAACGGTTAGAATTTCAATACTGGACAGGATAACTAAACGGTACAATAATATCAACCGAAAATTCTATTTTTCACACAATCAATTTTTGTCTTGGTTTTAACCAGGATATTATTATCTTAGATGTTCCTCACATTCAATTTTGTGTGAAAAAAAAGCACAAGCTCAAAAAGCATAAACCAGAAATGCGAGCCTTTGAAGATAACGTGATGCAATGAATCAATGAAGGATTTCATTTGCTCTATTTGATCATTTGAAATAGAAAAAAATGACAGATGCCTTACATTATAATACTTTCTGTAGGCACTAAACATTCCAAGTAAAAAATTATTTGAATAGCATCAGTATTGTAGTATATCATAAAATGGACCAAATGATTGGTAGACGCTCTAATTTTCCTAATTGTTCATTACCTCTCAATTGAATACACATTTTTTATAGAAAACTGAATTAATGGTAGCTGCAATATAGACTTTGCAGACTTGTAAGTGCAGTATCACAATCTTTTAAATAAAAAATTATCCGTAATTATTATGATATCATGTATTGTAATAAATATATGGTAACTACATTGTAAGTATGGCTTGGATTTTTTAAAACACAAAGGTTTCTCAAGAAGAAATCACAACCTTTCATTATTAGTAAATACAGTGTGTAATATAATATAGCAGCTTTAAATTTGTGAAAGAAAAAATACATTATTTTGGTATAACCTGAAAAGAAAAGCTCAGCTTGTAAAGAAAAGCAAGAAAACATCTTTATTGTGTTTTTCTAAAAAATAAAACCAATCACGGTTGCATACTCAATGCAAAACAGAAAAGGTCATTTATTCACAACATTATTTTCTCTCACACAAGTGAGTTTATAAACAAAACCACATGGTAACAATATGTATGGTTATAAGTTTATTTTTATATAAAACATGCAGATCAAATCTGACAATTAATTAAAATATAATGGATGTATTAAATATTTGATACTTATATCCATTTTCTTCAGTAAATGACCTCATAATAAAAAGCTTATCTGTGTCATGACTTTCTCTGCTAATGTTTCTAATACAAGAGGCCCAATGGGCCTGCATCGCTCACCTGGTATTAATCTCACACTTGTAATCTTAAAAGTGGACTAAAATACAGCTACAGGCAGAATATCAGTGTTTGATTCATAAGAACCTATTAAAAGATTTAAACATATGACGCCTGTGACCTTGAATGTCGTACAAGGACATCAGGTTGAAAGTGGATCAAGGTCATTCATTTGAACAAACTTGGTAGCCCTTCATCCCAGCATGCTACAGGCCTAATATCAGTACCCTGGGCCTTTTAGTTATTGAGAAGAAATTGCTTGAAGATTTTAACATATTTGACCCCTGTGACCTTGAAAGTGGGTCAAGGTCATTTATTTAACAAACTTTGTAGCCCTTCATCCCAGCATGCTTCAGGCCTCATATCAGTACCCTGGGCCTTTTGGTTATTGAGAAGATGTTGTTTAAAGTAAAAAGTTGACGCCGGACAGACGGACGACGGACACTGCACCATGTTATAAGCTCACTTGCCCTTCGGGCAGGTGAGCTAACAACAATGTAACTGACAGTACTTCATGAAGGCAATAAAATTCAACACATACACAGAATCCATGGACATTTACACATAATATTGGTTTGTTTGTGTTTTACGTCCTATTAACAGCTGTGGTCATTTAAGGACATGCCAGGTTTTGGTGGTGGAGGAAAGCCCGAGTTCCCGGAGAAAAACCACCGACCTATGTCCAGTACCTGGCCATGGAAATATACCCAAAGTCCATGGAACTCATACACATTCAGAACATATAGTATCCTGAAGTTTTAAGTCAATCTTCAAGTCCTGTCTTTTCCAAAAGAAATTAATGTATGTCTTCATAATTTACAGTCTATGATGTTGGTACCCAGAGGAATAATTTAGAAAGAAACTGAGAATATTTTACATTTTTACTTTTTAAACAATCTCAGTGTAGAAGTGTTTGCTTTAACATTGCTGCCACAATATACAGTGTGCCAATCATATATTTGGGCTGATTACATCAGTAAACATGAGATAAGCAAACATTTTGACTTACACATTATTGACAAGTCCAGTTAAAACACGTCTGCATATATGTTTTACTTTCATCACATATAAAATACATACATGTATGTAGTGGCATGTACGACTTATGGCCAGTCATGATCCAACATGCTGGTGGTTGACTAAAACAGTTGTCCCAATCACTACATAATTATACAAACACCGATTAAATACCTACTATTTGATAACATTTATGATGAGTGCTCATTTGGAATTTTATCATTTTTTTGTCCCTCCCAAGTGTAAAGCAATACATTGACTTATATATTTACTTATAACTTTGAATGTTTTCAAATAATAATCATAATTATTTTCCTATTTACATGCATTTTCTTGAAGAAGTTTTGAAGTAACTTCACTGATGACTTTCCATGCAAAGTTGATATCGTTGTTGTTGGTTTTGGAACCACAGATGGCCAACCTAAGGAAGTAAGTGCCCTTAACACTGGAGGGAACAATGTTAATCCTACCGTCATCGTTGACTGCCTTCAGGAGTTTCTCATTGACGTCATTGGGTCCCTACAACACAGTTTATCAATGTCATTTACCCAAAAAATGGGAGTATCAATGTCATTTACCCCAAAAACGCGAGTATCAATGTCATTTACCCCAAAAACGAGAGTATCAATGTCATTTACCCCAAAAACGGGAGTATCAATGTCATTTACCCCAAAAACGGGAGTATCAATGTCATTTACCCCAAAAACGGGAGTATCAATGTCATTTACCCCAAAAACGGGAGTATCAATGTCATTTACCCCAAAAACGGGAGTATCAATGTCATTTACCCCAAAAACGGGAGTATCAATGTCATTTACCCCAAAAACGGGAGTATCAATGTCATTTACCCCAAAAACGGGAGTATCAATGTCATTTACCCCAAAAACGGGAGTATCAATGTCATTTACCCCAAAAACGGGAGTATCAATGTCATTTACCCCAAAAACGGGAGTATCAATGTCATTTACCCCAAAAACGGGAGTATCAATGTCATTTACCCCAAAAACGGGAGTATCAATGTCATTTACCCCAAAAACGGGAGTATCAATGTCATTTACCCCAAAAACGGGAGTATCAAGCATTGACAATAGTCATTTTAAGCCAACAGCACTTTCCAAAAATGTCAATTTGTATTTAAATTTTACTAAATTTTAACTAATCACTACAGTTTTATAATACATATTTGGTTTTTTATAGCACTTAATGATTATTACAATCCATTAAAACAAGCATAATGTGATATTCAAAAACACATATCTCTTTCAGTTACATATTCTTATGTCTAATAGAATTGAAAGCCACTAGCTAACTAAATACCCATAACCCTCTTTAAAGAAAAACTATTCCATCAGTTAATTTATGATTAATTTAAAAGATATATATAATTAAATGTGCTGAGTAAGAAAGCAAGACAAACCTTCAACCTGAAGCAGACAAGGCCCATTACAACTTCCCCGAAGATTTCAAATCTGTCATCAGCTACCACTAACTTCTCAAAATCATGGGCCAGCTGGACATCCTGTGAACATTAAGAGGTGGTAGTGTTGAAGTAATTTTGGAAATAAAAAAATAAACGTGACCTTGACCTTTTCCCTCAAAAACCTGACATGATGCAAAATGCATAAAAATGTATGCAGTATTTAGTCAATATTCATTCATTGTCTTAAAAATGATGTAAGAGAATTCTGCATTGTTTATACGTTAATTTTAACATCTGAATGTGTATCATGTTTAGAACAGTGTACATGTTAAAGGTCTTATAAATATATATATCATGTCTATACAGTTCCTGTTTTATAGCAAGTTAGAAACCTTTACCTTTCGGATATACTCTTGTAAACCTTTCAGTCCATAGGCCCTGATAACAAACCACAGCTTGAGGGATCTGAATCTCCGGCCAAGGGGAATCTGCCAATGCTGAAAAAAAATCAGGTTGCATCATTATAAATTGCTTGACATTAAGTGTTATAAGAATACACTTACCCTGGTTTTCACAGAATCATGTTTATATAAAGAAGGTTACAAAGTAACCTACCCTGTAGTCAGGCATCTTGCCCTAGTTTTTATGTTTGAGGTTCAGAGGGTACAAAGTAACCTACCCTGTAGTCAGGCATCTTGCCCTGGTTTTCATGTTTATATATAGAGGGTACAAAGTAACCTACCCTGTAGTCAGACATCTTGCCCTGGTTTTCATGTTTATATATAGAGGGTACAAAGTAACCTACCCTGTAGTCAGGCATCTTGCCCTGGTTTTCGTGTTTGAGGTACAGAGGGTACCAAGTAACTTACCCTGTAGTCAGGCATCTTGCCCTGGTTTTCGTGTTTATATAAAGAGGGTACAAAGTAACCTACCCTGTAGTCAGGCATCTTGCCCTAGTTTTTATGTTTGAGGTACAGAGGGTACAAAGTAATATACCCTATAGTCAGGCATCTTGCCCTGGTTTTCATGTTTATAGAAAGAGGGTACAAAGTAACCTACCCTGTAGTCAGGCATCTTGCCCTGGTTTTTGTGTTTGAGGTACAGAGGGTACAAAGTAACCTACCCTGTAGTCAGACATCTTGCCCTGGTTTTTGTGTTTGAGGTACAGAGGGTACCAAGTAACCTACCCTGTAGTCAGGCATCTTGCCCTGGTTTTTGTGTTTGAGGTACAGAGGGTACAAAGTAACCTACCCTGTAGTCAGGCATCTTGCCCTGGTTTTTGTATTTGAGGTTCAGAGGGCACAAAGTAACCTACCCTGTAGTCAGGCATCTTACCCTGGTTTTCGTATTTGAGGTTCAGAGGGTACAAAGTAACCTACCCTGTAGTCAGGCATTTTGCCCTGGTTTTTGTATTTGAGGTTCAGAGGGCACAAAGTAACCTGCCCTGTAGTCAGGCATCTTACCCTGGTTTTCGTATTTGAGGTTCAGAGGGTACAAAGTAACCTACCCTGTAGTCAGGCATTTTGCCCTGGTTTTTGTATTTGAGGTTCAGAGGGCACAAAGTATCCTACCCTGTAGTCAGGCATCTTCCCCTGGTTTTCGTATTTGAGGTTCAGAGGGTACAAAGTAACCTACCCTGTAGTCAGGCATCTTGCCCTGGTTTTCGTGTTTGAGGTACAGAGGGTCCACGTTGAAGGCATCACTGATCAGGGAGCTATCCTGTACCCTAAATAAAAAAAGAAACAACTGAAATGGTGTAAAACATGAGGTAGTGGATTTTGAAATAATGATAAGATATACCAGTAGGTAATATCAATATCTCTCCTGCTGTTTATTACAGTATCTGCATGTACATAATAAAACTGGATAGGACAGAATATAGTATAATGCTGACCATTGTTTGATTAGCTGCTTACGTACTGTATAGCACTTTTGTTTTGAGGTTTCATTTTAAAATCACAGCCCGATGAAACAATAAACAAAGCAAATTATTTGTGCTTTTGATGAAAAGTTGCATGAAATTTACACCCCACAAAGTTGTTCTAGTAAGTTCAAGAATTGTAAAGCTTCTCTCAAATTATGGGGAAAATATAGTAGATAAACATGTATAACTATATACATGTATGAGGATTTTAGTTTCCAGAAACTAAGAGACCAGGGCCCGTATTCATGAAACCGTTCTCATGCTCATGCATGGATTCTGTGCAAAAACCCACTTTCTTGTAATTCGCTTAAATCATGTGAAACGATGAAAAAGTCAAATGTAAACATTGAAAACAATTTTCGGCCTTAATTAATTACTCAATGTTTTTATAAATCATTGACAAAACATTTTTTTCATTAGTTTATAACAAGGACAAGGAATTCGGCTTGAATACAATATCCATGCTTGAGCATGAGAACGGTTTCACGAATACGGGCCCTGCTGTTGGGATAAGATAAAAACATGAATCTTCATATGACACATGTACCTACCACAAGGCAGAACAGTCAAAGTTCACTTTCATCCATTTATGAGGGTTGAAATTGAAAGACATTGCATACTGTAAAGAAAATGTAAAGAATAAAAATGTCATTGTTACTGAGACAGGTCATGTCATGGTGTCATGGTTATATAAGTGATAAGAGGATATCTAATCTGAGGCATAAACTCACAAGTAAAAAAGGTGTATTTTATGCAGCATTGTAGAACAAAATATAAACAAAATGCCTGTGATCTTAATCACCACCTTATTCATTGTAGTTTTGGTCTGTTTAACACACATCTAAATATAAAGATCTATAGCCCTGTAGTGTATGTTAAAAAATACTATGGCTCCAGTGTTCTTAACACATTTACTAGTAATTGCTGCAGTGGCCTTAATTAAGCAAATTGAACTGCTTTCAGTTGGCATTCATAATCAGTATCAATAAATAAATATACAACATTTGATATAGCGCCCTATCTAGCTAACATAAGCCACTCTAAAGCGCTTTACAGTACATAGATATACAATTTTATACAGTCAATACAATTAGCATATATGTTAATCAATACAATATTGAGGAATTAGCAGGAGCTGCCTTATCAGGCGCTAACTACTAGACCTATGCCACATGGCTAGTATCTCCCTTTGTGTGTATGCCCGTGTGTGTGCTGGAGATGTATTGTGTTCTGTTTGTAGTGGGACCGTGCTTCCAACGGTATCATTTATAGTGCCACCTCACTTGAATGCTACAGTAGATACCGCAACACCCACCCCAGACCATTTTTACAAACTGGAACATCATGACAAAATTCCATGATGCATGCTAGGTTGTGTTGCAGCATAAAAATAGTCACAAATCAATATAGCATCACCTCATGTTGTTTTTATGTCTTAAGTTCAAAGAAATTACTTCACTTATTTAGTAAAATGTATAGCCAGACAATAGGTGTACAAAAGGACAACCATATTCCAGTTCATCATTTGCCGATCCTCTACCTCGTTGCAGGGAGGTATGATATATACAAACTCACCTTGACACCATTCAAAAGTGGTCGGAATTCTGGACAGATGAAAGCACTTCCAGCATAAGCTGCATCTATATGCATCCAAATTCCCTCCTTTTCACCTAAGCAAAAAAACGCAAAACCAAAGATGAATTTAAGTGACATTATTAAAATGCAGTTATTAGAGACAAATAGTTTGTCCAATTATTTGAGAGAGAAAAAAAGTTTATTAAAAAAAGAAAATATCTGTTTGGATACAATATATTGTCAACAGGACTCGTAGAATCTTCCCCTATCATCAGGGTTTATCAGAGAAATCAACCATCAGAGGCAATATATTTGATTATCTACCCCTGATCTCATCCCAAGGGTTGGGATTTCTCTGGCTCACCCATAAGAGATCATTCATTATCTCCCATCCTTCCAGTACTATGTTTGAAAGCATTAATAGTTTTCAGCATTTATAAAATGGTTATTTTATCTTGATTTGTCCATGACCTCTCCAGTCAATAGCCGATTGCGATGTTAAATTTTAAACTGTTCTCATGTCTTTTATTTTTCATACAATATCTGGTGGTAGGTATATCATAGAAATCATACCCTACGATGTGACAGAAGAACACTGAACAGGGGAAAAGGGAGACAACTGCTCTGAATGTTTGGAGAATAATGAATCATGAAGAGAAGACTTACACACTGGTCCACATTCCAGCACGTTGTCAAATGCACAGGATAAGGTTGTCCCCAAGGTAGCACACAGCTGTGGGGAGCAGCAAGGTATATTATTATATATAGTGTAAGTATGCATTTATTATTGTCAGCATAGTACATTTGTATGAATGCTAAACAGGTGTTAACAATTATATTAGGTGAAAATCATTTATTGCCTCAATTGTTTACCTGTATATATAAGGTGTACCTATACATAATTACAATATACATATATTCCACCATATGATAACTTTGTTTTATACAGTAATAAGTATTTAGGGTATTCAAGCTAATCACATTCAGCCTTGTTTTGATAAATAATGATCCGTCATCAATTGTTTCTCAATCATATACACATCAATGTGTAGGCATTATTGCTTGGTGTACTTTTATAATGCCAGGTTGTATATATAGATTTGATTACTTTAAAAGTAACTGTTATACAAGAGACAGAATCTCAAAGAATACAGACATATGACAACAAGGTTAAAATATGAATGTGCATCAAAGCTGTACACAAGCTAAAAAAAGGTCTACTGTGAAATTAATAATTTTTCTTGTTTTTTTTTATTTCGTTGATTTTATGGGTAATCTTAATCCATGAATTCATAGGTCCAAGAAGTTATTACAAGTTTAAATTAATATAAAGCAATTCTTTGTTTGAGTTGGTACTCGTAATTCACGAATTCATGTACCAACTGGTGGGATGAAACTGACTATATAATAGGTTGCTCAAGCAGATTTGACTGTAACTTAAAGAGTCAACTTAAGACCAAGAGTCTGTAAAATAATTGGTATATACTCCAGATTAAGTATACGTTCACTCTCTCCTTGCACATTGATATATCTGATTTGGTCACAATGGTCAAGTTAACATTACACATTGCAGTGATATGACCTTTGACCCTTGCCGTAACCTTGACCTCAAGGTTATTGACATGTCTAATACACAACATACCATCTTGATATGTGTACTAATATTTATGATGTTTCATTATGTATTATTCAGCGATTGGACAGGCCTTGATATAACATTTTACCCTCTGTTGTGACCTTAACCTTGTGGTAAAAGACTGACAAACTGTCATGTCATGGAAGCTTCATCAAATACACATACTGACCATTGGTTTAGTAGCTATAGTTTCATGTTTGACTGAGCATAGCGTGAGTTCTTTACATAGGAAATACACATTAAATTGAAGTATTTAACAAAGAAACGCTCAATGTGTTTCTCCTTTGTGTCTTATTCGGATGATGAACTTGAAACTTCCATATTTTAGGTTGCACACATGATACATGATGTCAAAATGTACATACATAAAATGGAATGAGACCTGCTGCTCTGTCCTTTTCTATGGCTTGTTGGAGAGTTGTTCCCCTTAGTGCACCCTTCTCATCTGTTTCCAATTTCTTCATTGTGACTGCTCCAATAAGACCTGCTCTTTCTACAGATGAGTGGGCCTGGAAAATCATACTTCTTATTCATACACATGCCAGAATGTTTCATTCTGGATCAAATTAAAGGATATCTCATTAGTGAAACATAGGGATGAAGTTAAAGAATAGAAATATTCTCCTTAATAAGATCTTCCATTGGTGTACCATCAAGCTAAAAAGAGTATGCGTACTGCAGGGAGAAACAATATTCACCTGTCCCATACTTAAAGTCCTACTGATGCATTATTGTATCTTAATGTGTCCAAAGTAATTCCATAAAAAGGCTATAACTCCATTAATGCTAATTGAGCTTGTATGGAGAATGGAGCAGATGTTTTGGCAATTCCATCAAGGGCCATAACTCCATATCCTCAGATAATGGTAGTTATCAAGTTTGTCTGAACTTTCATGGTAAATAACTTATGAAGTTTGAAGTTAATCTTTTGAAAATTATTTACCATGCCTTTATTGTATTGAAGATTTTTTGCATACATTGTGTTGTATTTTCTAGCAAAGAACTTCAAAATGAACTAGAAATAGTGATGAAGCTCAATTATGAAGACACAGGAATAACTAAAATGCTAATAAGACATAACACACCATGTACTTACTAATACCTTCCTCCAGATCCCCTTCAACCTTAGATTAACATTTTAAGGGAAAGAACCTGCGTTACTGTTGACGATCATGAATAAAATGTTAATGTACAGCTCATAAATCAGTGAGGGTATCAAGATAAATATCTATGGTCTAAATTGTTACTTCAGATAGAAACAGTGCAGAACACTTAACTGAAAACCTCTAAAATGTTCAAGAGAGAAGGAATACTAAATGTAGATGAAAGCAAACATGATAATAAACAAGAGGCCCAATGGGCCTGCATCGCTCACCTGGTATTAATCTCACACTTGTTATCTTAATAGTGGACTAAATAACAGCTACAGGCAGAATATCAGTGTTTGATTCGTAAGAACCTATTCAAAGATTTAAACATATGATGCCTGTGACCTCGAATGTCGAACAAGGACATTAGGTTGAAAGTGGGTCAAGGTCATGAATTTGAACAAACTTGGTAGCCCTTCATCCCAGCATGCTACAGCCCCAATATCAGTACGCTTGACCTTTTGGTTATCGAAAAGAAGTTGTTTGAAGATTTTGAGACATTTGACCCCTGTGACCTTGAAAGTTGGTCGAGGTCATTCATTCGAACAAACATGGTAGCCTTTCATTCCAGCATGCTACATGTTATTGAGAAGAAGTCGTTTGAAGATTTTACGACATTTGACCCCTGTGACCTTGGAAGTGGGTCAAGGTCATGAATTTGAACAAACTTGGTAGCCCTTCATCCCAGCATGCTACTGGCCAAATATCATCAGCCTGGGCCTCTTGGTTATTGAGAAGAAGTTGTTTTAAGTAAAAAGTTAATAAAATGAATGAAATATTTTTGTATTTTTAGCCAACCATCATCTGATGGTGGGCTATTCAAATCACCCTGCGTCCATGGTCCGTGGTCCGTCTGTTGTCCGTGGTCCGTCGTCCGTCCGTAAACAATTCTTTGTTATCGCTATTTCTCAAGAAGTACCAGAGGGATCTTTCTCAAATTTTATATGCAGGTTCCCCTTGGTCCTTAGCTGTGCAGGGCAACTTTTGAGACTGATCGGATAAACAACATGGCCGACAGGCAGCCATCTTGGATATTGATAGTGACAGTTTGTTATCGCTATTCCTCAAGAAGTACCAGAGGAATCTTTCTCAAATTTTAAATGTAGGTTCCCCTTGGTTCTTAGCTGTGCAGGGCAACTTTAGAGACTGATCGGATAAACAACATGGCCGACAGGCAGCCATCTTGGATTTTGATATTGAAAGTTTGTTATCGCTATTTCTCGGGAAGTATCAGAGGGATCTTTCTCAAATTTTATATGTAGGTTCCCCTTGGTCCTTAGCTGTGCAGGGCAACTTTTGAGACTGATCGGATAAACAACATGGCCGACAGGCAGCCATCTTGGATTTTGATAGTGAAAGTTTGTTATCGCTATTTCTCAAGAAGTACCAGAGGGATCTTTCTCAAATTTTATATGTAGGTTCCCCTTGGTCCTTAGCTGTGCAGGGCAACTTTTGAGACTGATCGGATAAACAACATGGCCGACAGGCAGCCATCTTGGATTTTGATAGTGTAGGTTTGTTACCGCTATTTCTCCGGAAGAACTAGAGGGATCTTTCTTAAATTTTATATGTAGGTTCCCCTTGGTCCTAGCTGTGCAGGGCAATTTTAGAGACTGATCGGATAAACAACATGGCCGACAGGCAGCCATCTTGGATTTTGATAGTGAAAGTTTGTTATCGCTATTTCTCGGGAAGTACGGGAGGGATCTTTCTCAAATTTTAAATGTAGGTTCCCCTTGATCCCTCGTTGTGTATGTTATATTTTGAGACTGATCATAAAAACAAAATGGATTAAAAGAAGAACTAAACAGATCTTTCTCATATTGCAATGATCGATTCTATTTCTTTCACATTAAGTACTGTACTAGTAAATATGTGAAATGACAAACTCACTTTGAAGGTTGGCTTTCATACACATCAGTATTAAGTTTAGATCAAAAGTTACCTCAAGGTGTATTTACTGTTAACATGACTCGATCAAACAGATTAGAGGAAAGAAGAGAAAAGATCGAACTGACAAAGAACTAATGAAGATGGTACAAAGGTGGGCGCCAAGATCCCTCTGGGATCTCTTGTTGTATAATTATATGTGACAGTTTCTTGTCCTATATATCTCATGTCTTGTATCTGTAATCAATACTGTACAATAGGTTAACGTTAAATCAACATCACCTTAATTAATCCTGTAACAGCCGTTACGGTTTTGACAGCTAATACCACCCACCAGCTGTACTGTTGAATGAATCAATCTGACACATACGCAAATTACTACAAAACCTGAATCAATACCAAAGACTTTATTCTTAACAATTCTTATAAATATTTAATATCAATTAAAGCAACGCCCTGGGAGTTGGCATTCAGTGAAATATTCAAATATAAGCTACATTTGTAGGTATACATTTAACAATTTAAGATTTTTGAAAGAAAACCTGAGAAATGTTATCATGCTCTGTATTTGTTGGTCATCATTTTACCAAAGTTTGAATATATAAGAGATACCTGATACAGATTACAAGTTTGAGAAAATGTTAGATAAAACAAAAGGTGGAGGCCAGCAGGGCAAGTAATATTTTTGTGCAACATTTTGAAAGATGAAATCTTTTTCTACTACATATGTATTTCAAAAGACTTTTATAAACATGTGAAATCATGTCCTAAACATGTTAAATCCTGTCCTGAAATGGAGGACCACATGGCTAAGTTGTAGGGTTGGCTTTGAATGGCAAAGAGGACCTTTTGTGCTCAAAAGGATATTCAAGAAATCATGGCAAAAGATTCTCAGTAAAATTAGTATTGAAAATATTTCCTCATTTTGAGCTCTATACTAGACCAAATATTGCTATATAACAAATCTAAATGAGATTCATGTATGTGTGTGTATTGTTATGGGGTAGAAAGAACAAAAGGGGCAGGGGCAGATCCTAGAGCTAATCCTTGTAGCATACTTGTGTTTTTTCCTACATGCATAAAATGGGAACATCAAACATTTCAATGTTATGACATAAGGACTAATAAAAGCTTTGCCTTATTGGTCTGCAAATGACCTTGTGACTTATGGAACTACCCAGGGTAAAGGAAAAGCTTCTCTTTATCCATCATACCAATGTTGACCTTTGTACCTGGCCAACAGCTGTCAAAGCTAACCTTTGACCTAGAAAACAATTCACACTGCTGCTCTACGCAACATATCCAAATACCATCTCTCTATATCTTCTGCTTTTAAAAAACTATAAATTTTAAACATATTTCGATCCTATGACCTTAAATGTAGATCAAGGTAATTTTCATGAGGAAGCTTTATGGTATTCTTGTTATCCAAGGTAAATACTGGCCATATTTCAGGAACCCAAGCTTAACTGGACTTAAGAAGAAGATTTTAAAATCGTTTTACCCATTTTAGCCAATGTAAACTTCTTACCCCAGTCATATCTAAGTATCATTGCTCTAGACCTTCTGGTTCTTTAGAATATATTTTTTTTAAACATATTTGACACCTTTGACCTTGAAAGTAAGCCAAGATCATTTATATGAGGATACTTTATACCACTCCATCCCAGGTACCTACTGGCCAAATATCCGGACCAATTAAGTGTCTTTCAGTTATCGAGAAGTTCTTCAAAGAAAACAGTTGACAGATAGACTGGCAGATGACACTGCACCATACCATAAGCTCACAGGCACTTTGTGCCAGATAAGCTAAAACTGAAACATTTCATATTCTAATCTTAAGTAATTTCATATTTTAACCTTAAGTAATTAAAAATCGCATATGACACAATTTAACACAAATTGTTCTGAATGACTTTATGTGTAATTTACATCCATGACCTCAATTTTTTCCAAGCTTCATTTCCTTCAAGCTTAAGTAGTCTTTAAATAAAGTTAAGTACATTTTAATAGATGCAGATCCAAATGTCATACCGATATTAACATATATATGAATAAAAGTATAGAAAATCATTGATACTGATGTCACATTGAAAATTTGATGTCTAACTGTTAGCTGAAAATTTGTCATTGACAATATCAGATATCCCAAATGTTAATCAGTATCTTGATCAGGATATCTGAAATCATATTTATGTTGATACACAGATTTAGAAAGGTGTGCAATTATTGCAAACACATGAAACTTACAAAACACACACACTGTAAAACTGTGGGAAATATTCCATTGGTGTTGATTGTGGATATACTGTAGTACATAGAATATTACCTGAGCAGAACAGTAGGCGACAAGTTTTGACATGACTGCGCCATCGTCATGGTGACCATCCCCAGACTTGTTGTGCTTGTGTAAGAATTGTGTGCGGGCCGACAGCAGGGTGACAAGAGTGGCCTCACTGGCTGTTCCCTGTAATCAGTCAAAACCATGGCCAGTTACATATGCTGCCTCCAAGTGTTAGGTATCGAAGCCATGTTAACAAACAAATGCAGTATCTAAGGGGTGTGTTGCATTGCGATTTAGTCCTGTTTTTAGATGATTGAAACAAATCAGAATGAAAACTGATGATAAATGAAAGTAAAGTTTCACAGAACAGGAAACTATCCATGCAACACAATCATGTTTATTCAATCATTATCATGACCAAGAACAACATCTTTGAATTAACTTTCGCATCCTCAGATTTCTGTTCTTTTGGATCCTCTGTTCTTTTGGATCCTCAGAAGTGATGAGCATGATAGAAATTCCTGGAAAAAAAACCAACACTGTAGTATTGACTACTGCTGTGTGATTACAAACCTGTATTACGCCACCTCCTTTCCCCCCGGAGGAGAAGAGAAATGCTGGAGGAAGGTCAAGCATCTTACCAAGCCAGTCCAACACAACTACCTCCAGCTCTGTACATGCAGGACTCGACGCCTTTAAACAACAATCGTACCAGTTACTAAACATCTTCATAAGTCAGTTATTACATAGTCATATACAGTATCAGACACAGTACCGGTAAATGTAGACTGGCTACCAGCCCCTAAGTTTCTATGAAGAATTTCTCAACTGCATTTTACTACTAGATTATCTCCTCCTAGTATAGAACTAAGGATCAGTCATCCAAGTGATCAAAATTATTAGAGGTGGTTTTTTTTTCTAAATAATTAAATATCTATAATATTCTAGAGACAGGGGCCAGTCTACGGTAAATGGTGATCAGCTATATGGCAGCATGAAAGATTTCTAGGTAGATTAACTAAATCTGTTACTGAAGAAAAATCAAAACTGAAATGTTCCAGCTTTACTAAACACAATAAGATTTTAGATAAGTATGACTGAGACATTACTTACCCATGTAAAGCCTATATTACCAATACCATCTGACAGGATGTCCGCTATAATGGCTGGGTAGGAATTAGCAGTTGGAAAGAAGGAGTGAAACTGTGGGGAGTCCCAATGGGTCACCTGAGAAGTTCAAAGGGTAAAGGTCATCAATTAACATGTAAAATTTAATGAAAGAAGAAGGGAAATATAAATGTAAGGAGACTTTAGAAACATACATCAACTCAGGTTTGTCATACAGGTGCGCACACTGTAGTAACATACAGTATATACACCAACCGAGGCTCGTCATGCAGGTGTGTACACTATAGTAACATGCAGTTAACAAAACAACCCAAGATATGTCATACATGTGTGCACACTGTAGTAACATACAACCCAGGTGTGTCATACAGGTGTGCATACTGTATTTACATACAGTAAATAAACCAACCTAGGTGTGTCATACAGGTGTTCACACTGTAGTAACATACAGTAAATAAACCAACCCAGGCGTGTCATACAGGTGTTCACACTGTTGTAACATACAGTAAATAAACCAACCTAGGTGTGTCATACAGGTGTTCACACTGTAGTAACATACAGTAAATAAACCAACCCAGGCGTGTCATACAGGTGTTCACACTGTTGTAACATACAGTAAATAAACCAACCTAGGTGTGTCATACAGGTGTTCACACTGTAGTAACATACAGTAAATAAACCAACCCAGGCGTGTCATACAGGTGTTCACACTGTTGTAACATACAGTAAATAAACCAACCTAGGTGTGTCATACAGGTGTTCACACTGTAGTAACATACAGTAAATAAACCAACCCAGGCGTGTCATACAGGTGTTCACACTGTTGTAACATACAGTAAATAAACCAACCTAGGTGTGTCATACAGGTGTTCACACTGTAGTAACATACAGTAAATAAACCAACCCAGGCGTGTCATACAGGTGTTCACACTGTTGTAACATACAGTAAATAAACCAACCTAGGTGTGTCATACAGGTGTTCACACTGTAGTAACATACAGTAAATAAACCAACCCAGGCGTGTCATACAGGTGTTCACACTGTTGTAACATACAGTAAATAAACCAACCTAGGTGTGTCATACAGGTGTTCACACTGTAGTAACATACAGTAAATAAACCAACCCAGGCGTGTCATACAGGTGTTCACACTGTTGTAACATACAGTAAATAAACCAACCTAGGTGTGTCATACAGGTGTTCACACTGTAGTAACATACAGTAAATAAACCAACCCAGGCGTGTCATACAGGTGTTCACACTGTTGTAACATACAGTAAATAAACCAACCTAGGTGTGTCATACAGGTGTTCACACTGTAGTAACATACAGTAAATAAACCAACCCAGGCGTGTCATACAGGTGTTCACACTGTTGTAACATACAGTAAATAAACCAACCTAGGTGTGTCATACAGGTGTTCACACTGTAGTAACATACAGTAAATAAACCAACCCAGGCGTGTCATACAGGTGTTCACACTGTTGTAACATACAGTAAATAAACCAACCTAGGTGTGTCATACAGGTGTTCACACTGTAGTAACATACAGTAAATAAACCAACCCAGGCGTGTCATACAGGTGTTCACACTGTTGTAACATACAGTAAATAAACCAACCTAGGTGTGTCATACAGGTGTTCACACTGTAGTAACATACAGTAAATAAACCAACCCAGGCGTGTCATACAGGTGTTCACACTGTTGTAACATACAGTAAATAAACCAACCTAGGTGTGTCATACAGGTGTTCACACTGTAGTAACATACAGTAAATAAACCAACCCAGGCGTGTCATACAGGTGTTCACACTGTTGTAACATACAGTAAATAAACCAACCTAGGTGTGTCATACAGGTGTTCACACTGTAGTAACATACAGTAAATAAACCAACCCAGGTGTTGTCCCTGCAGGTAGGGCATAAGAATTGTACCTGCTGCCCCCAATTGCATGATCGTAAGAGGCGACTAAATTTGGGACCTTATCTCTTCTCTCCTTTCTAAATAACTTTCTTCTTCCTAATGTCTCCCTTGACAATGCCTCACTTTTGGCCATTTGTTGAGCGTTCGCCCCTGTGAGGAAGGCTTTGGGTTCTGTCCCCTGGCCGAGACATACCAAAGTCTTTAAAAATGGTAGTTTATACTCCTGCTTAACGCTCAGCAAATTAGGAGTGGGACGACTGGTTCGCCCGTTGTCAGTATAATGTGACCGGGTGGGGCGTCCTGCTGGGTGTCTTCGGCAGAACGTTTCAGTGAGGTAGCACTATAAAGTCGGCATCAGTTTCGCGCTATCACAAGGAGACAAACACGAACATATCGCAGCCTCCCAATATACACACACATACACTACACGCATGCATCTTGCACCCAGGGGAGGCCGTCCTTAAATGACCTTAGCTGTTAATAGGACGTTAATCAAAATCAAACAAACAAATCAAACAAACAAAGCGTGTCATACAGGTGTTCACACTGTAGTAACATGCAGTAAATAATCCAACCTAGGTGTGTCTGACATACAGGTGTTCACACTGTAGTAACATACAGTAAACAAACCAACCCAGGCGTGTCATACAGGTGTGCACACTGTAGTAACATACAGTAAATAAACCAACCTAGGGGTGTCTGACATACAGGTGTGCACACCTTAGTAGCATACATTATATAAACCAACCCAGGCATGTCATGCAGGTGTGCACATTGTAGTAATATGCAGTATATACTCATAGGTGTGTCATACAGGTGTTCACACTGTAGTAACATACAGTAAACAAACCAACCCAGGCGTGTCATACAGGTGTGCACACTGTAGTAACATACAGTAAATAAACCAACCGAGGTGTGTCTGACATACAGGTGTGCACACCTTAGAAGCATACATTATATAAACCAACCCAGGCATGTCATGCAGGTGTGCACATTGTAGTAATATGCAGTATATACTCATAGGTGTGTCATACAGGTGTTCACACTGTAGTAACATACAGTAAATATACCAACCTAGGTGTGTCTGACATACAGGTGTTCACACTGTAGTAACATACAGTAAACAAACCAACCCAGGCGTGTCATACAGGTGTGCACACTGTAGTAACATACAGTAAATAAACCAACCTCGGTGTGTCATACAGATGTTCACACTGTAGTAACATACAGTAAATAAACCGACCTAGGAGTGTCTGACATACAGGTGTGCACACCTTAGTAGCATACATTATACAAACCAACTAAACCAACCCAGGCATGTCATACAGGTGTTCACACTGTTGTAACATACAGTAAATAAACCAACCTAGGTGTGTATGACATACAGGTGTGCACACCTTAGTAGCATACATTATACAAACCAACTAAACCAACCCAGGCATGTCATACAGGTGTTCACACTGTTGTAACATACAGTAAATAAACCAACCTAGGTGTGTATGACATACAGGTGTGCACACCTTAGTAGCATACATTATATAAACCAACCCAGGCATGTCATGCAGGTGTGCACATTGTAGTAATATGCAGTATATACTCATAGGTGTGTCATACAGGTGTTCACACTGTAGTAACATACAGTAAATAAACCAACCTAGGTGTGTCTGACATACAGGTGTGCACACCTTAGTAGCATACATTATATAAACCAACCCAGGCATGTCATGCAGGTGTGCACATTGTAGTAATATGCAGTATATACTCATTCCTAGATGTGAAAACTGTACCAACATACATACACCAACCCAAGTTTGTCATACAATTGTTAAGACTTAAGGATCATACACCAACCCAAGTTTGTCATACAGGAGGGGAGACTGTAGGAACATACACATACCAACCAAAGTACGTCAAACATATGGGGAGATCTTCATACACTTTGTCATACATTCTTCTAGACAGAAATAAACACACATCGACCCATATGCCACGCAGGCAAAATAGGAAAATATCTACACCAAGTCAAAATTATTTTTTCTAAAACCAAACCTACCGATGGATCAGCCACTGATGAATACATTCAGACTAGAATTTCTCTTACCCTGGACAGGTGTATCCGCTCTTTTACCGGTGTGAGATTTCCTTGTCTCACCCTAGGGATTCCCCTATTCATAACAATTGTATGACCTCACTTCAACAATACAATGACGTCAATTCAACAATCCATCAACCCCACGTCAACCCTGAATTTAGCCTGTGGCGTTAACATTACATTTTGTATATGATACACAATGAGATGAACAGGGTAAGAGAAAAGGAATCATTCATCCCCTTGTGGGTGATATAGGGTAATCTCAACCCTCGGGTAAAGATTCTTAAGTTGCCAAACACTCGGCAAAGCCTCGTGTTTGGCATATTAAGAATCTTCCCCCTCGGGTTGAGATTCCCCTATCTCCCCCCCNTGAGAGATTCTATTAATCATGTACATAGCTATGTTGAACTATTTGAGATGATTCAGGTAGAATGAAGACAAGAATGAAGTTGAAAACGAGGTGAATGTTGATAAGTCCTGGAAACTGAAGACAATTCAGGGTGAGGCAGGAAAGATATAGATATTGGAGACTGTTTATGTTTCTACAGGTGGATGGGGCAACAAGTTGGAAAAACTGCAGACTGTCTGTGGTGATATTGGGAGACAGTGGACAGATTGAGGAGACTGAGGAAAAATCAGGGAAACTAAGGACAAGTTGTAGAGATCAAGGACCAATCAGAGAAATTGAAGACAAAAAGCACACTGAGGCTGAGAGCCAATTGAAGAAACTGTGGACATATCAGGGAAAATGAGGACGAGTAAGCGAGACCAAAGACAAATTCTGGAAACTGTGGACATATCAGGGAAAGTGAGGACGAGTAAGGGAGACCAAAGACAAATGGGAGAGACTGAGGATCAATCAAGTTAACTTAAGACAAACACTACAGGGGACTGAATTTGAGCACAAAACCAGGAAAATGAGGATGAATTGAGGAGAACGAGGACCACTCGAGGAAACTTAAACAATTTGGTGAGACTGATGACTGATCAGGAGACTGAAGACAAATCAAGGAGACAGAGGACAAGTCAGGATATCTGAGGACAAATGGGAGACAAGACAAATGGAAGACAGAAGACAAACAAGAAAATTAATTTAGTAATTTGTTGGCAAAACTGGGGATACTCAGGCCAAGTCTGGGATAAAAAGTAAGATATGAGACTATTAGGGAGACTCAAAATGAATGTGGAGACAGCGAATAAGTCAGATTCAGGAGAGAATGAGATGGGAAGATTAGGAATATATCAGAGAGGCTCAAGTGATAAATAGGATAGACCAAGCATGAGTCTAGCAGACAGGATAAAAGACTAGATACAAGACTGGAGACCAAAGGGGAAAACTGGAGACGAGTCAGAAAGACTGGCTATGAGTTGGGGTGACTGGCTATGAGTTGGGGTGACTGGCTATGAGTTGGGGTGACTGGCTATGAGTTGGGGTGACTGGGTATGAGTTATGTCACTAAGATGAGTTAGAGATTGAAAACAACTCAGGGAGACTGTGTAGGAGCCAAAAAGACTAGGTATCATCTATGACTTATTATATGGATTGAAGAGATAGGAAGACTGGGTTTAAGTTATTAAGACTGTAGATGGGTAGGGACTGACTGAGTAATGCAAACTGAAGTTGAGTCAGAGGGACTGAATATGAGTCAGATAGACTGGGTATGAGTCAGGAAGACTGGGTATGAGCTATTAAGGCTGAAGTTGAGTCAGAGGGACTGAATATGAGTCAGGAAGACTCGGTATGAGCTATGAAGGCTGAAGTTCAGTCAATAAGACTGGGTATGGGCTATGTACCTGGTAGGCTGAAGATGAGTTAAAGAGACTTGGTAAAATTGTATCCGATACATGTATTTGGATCATTTTATTGTGTCCTTATTATGATCAATAATATTGATAAACTAGACTTACTCCTGGCATAATGACTCTTTCAATATCAGCAAAAATATCATCCCAGCTCTCAGGGTCCTCAGGGGCGCTGTCTGGAATGAGTTCCCGGAGATAACCAGGAGTGACGGTGGGGAATGGACGACGTTCTCGTATATTTTCCAAATAATCAGCCACATAGTCCACCATTTCCTTCCCTCTCTTTCGGAACTCCTCTACATCCATTGTTAGTATTGATCCAATTTATGAATACCCTGAAATTATCAGTTTGCTTAAAATGCTGTTGTGAGGTCCATTAATATTGAGGAAAAAAATTCCACAAATTTTGGTATAAATTATTTGATTTTGGTTTGATTTTAGTTTGTTTAACGTCCTATTAACAGCTAAGGTCATTTTAGTACGTAAAAAAATTAAGGATACATTACTTGTATCAATAATTTGGTGAAATGACATGATCTTATTGTGTGAAAGTAAACATTCTTTTTATTGAAGATAAAGATTCTGGCCTCTTTAGGTTGCTGTCCCCTTAAGGATCCCTATGCCATTGTCAGAAACAGTATCCATTGGAAACTCCTTTCTTCATAGATCATTTATGAAAAGAAACCCATACCTTGTGTAAATTTCAACAGATTTTTTATGAGAAGAGGTAGTTATCTTTTGTTTTTCTGTTATATTGAGAAAAATGAAACAGAATATTTCTCATTTGATGAACAATGTTTTATTTGAAAAAAACTCAACATTATTGCTTTAAGAGAAAAAATATTATTTTTAGAAAGAATAAACTACTTCGATACTAAAATTCACACAGTGCATTGAACATAGTTGCAAGAAATAATCCAAATGTAATTTACTTCTTTTTATGAATATGGTAAGTAACAAAGATGAAATATATCAACAGTGTTCTCTATTACTGCAAGTACAGTAAAGACCAGCTGAATCTAAAGCCTGGACCCCTGATCAGCAGAACTATCTGACAATGCATTAGGCGCTTACTACAGCTAGTTGTGTACTAAAGTCTCTGTTGTTTTCTCTGTAGTGGGGCTGGGGTCCTTGATATACCAAGACATAGGATTTATATTTAATCAGCTTATCATAGATAACATTTACTCTATAACTGTACCTCAACCTAATAGAAACCTTGAGACAACAATATTAGATATCTTCTTACTGATACTGAGGCTCCATCAATGCTGATGATCCATAGAAAATGACAAATTAAGAATAAATTAATTGTGTAACAACACGTACATCTTTAAAATTGTATACAAATTATCGTCGGAGACAGAGGAGTTCGGGTATTAATATTAGTACTACATGGTGATATACCAGACTGAAATAGGTATCCCGGTCTCTCACCACTTTTACTGTATCCGCCCAACTTACCTTGTACTAATTAACAATGGATACATAGACAAACCATGCGGTCTTTCTTGTCTGTAATGTACACTTACAAGATAAATCCAGACAACTTCACTGCACATGTGACCACGGCGGATATCAGCTGCTAGAATAACCAGATACCAGTGTTGTCCGCCACATCAGTCGTAATCAATAACCACCAATGCTGCGCCTACTGAGAATGTTCTGCGACACTGTCCGCCACTGTACTCCCGTGTATCTGCAACAAAAACGTCATAGAGCACGCTCCATTATGTTTCACCGTTTACGAAAACAACCTCATAAAGCTTCAATGTTGATAACACTTACGTGTAGTCAGATTGTGTCCGAGCTCGATTCTCACAAACCTTTCAATATCGGGATAATGAATCAATAATATCGAGAGTTAGATCTAATGACTGGTTAGCTTGATAATATCCCATGCAAGTTAATGAATTGTTAATATTAACGTCACAGACAAAAGGTTGCTATACCATTCCACTAGTCCTTCACCATGCTCACATTAACCCTGATCACACAGAGCTGATAAACGTTTGGTATATAGGACAGTCGCCCATCGGGACAAGTTGTGTGTTGCCCGGGCTTGTCTCACATTTGACATTAGACGGCCGTTAATTTCGTGTTAGACATTACGCCACTTAGCGCTGTATGTTTCGTATTGATTAACGGCCACGAGACTATTAGCACGTGAAAAGAAACTATTGACTTAAATAAACGCCTCATATTCGGGGGTTTTCTTCCAATTATTTATGATTCCCTATTTATGAATCAGGGTTTATAATCAGCGATCTCAGTTCTGATTGAATCGGTGGTCACGGTAGTTACATATCAAGATCAGAATCTATTCGTCCTGTTTGTTGGTTATCAATATTTAATGAACACTCTCTACACTATTTGATTAACACTCTCTACAATCATCCATAGTAACTAACACATGAAACATCATCTGAAACAAGTATCATTATATGTGCATTCGCCTCCTCACACTATATGACCTTTTCATTATATATGCACACACACACAATATTATTTTTTGTTATCGTCTCCAATAATGAAGATGACATATTAACATTTATTCAATCCACACGTTCTCAGCTGGAGTAATCACCTCGATACCCCAAAAATATATAGAAAAAAAACTAAAGATCCCCGTACCGCTGTCCAAAACTGTAACTACACATTGGAAACAGTAAATCATTTCTAAAAAGAAAACCATACGTTGCGGAACTTTTATGAGAGAAAAATAAGACGAAATAAACAAAATATAATCTAGCCTAGCATTCCAAGCATGGACTTCAAATTGTTAACCGATCGAGCTACCTAGCTGGGCCCGAATTCATGAAACTGTTCTCATGCTCAAGCATGGATTTTACTCTTAAAGTCACTTTCTTGTTACTCACTTAAATCATGTCAATCGATTAGAAAGTCAAATGTTAACATTAATAACAAATAATTAATAACAAATAAGTAATAACAAATAAATGCTAACAAATAAGTGGTGACTAAAAATGTCCTTCCAGGGCTTCCGTAGAAAACAGTATTTGGCTTGAAGATTCAGGGATACAGTATACATAGATACAGGGATACAGTATACAGAGATACAGTATACAAAGATACAGTATACAGAGATACAGGGATACAGTATACAAAGATACAGTATACAGAGATACAGGGATACAGTATACAGAGATACATTATACAGAGATACAGTATACAGGGATACATGGATACAGTATCCAGAGATACAGTATACAGAGATACATTATACAGGGATACAGTATACAGAGATACATTATACAGAGATACAGTATACAGGGATACATTATACAGGGATACAGTATACAGATATACAGTATACAGAGATACGGTATACAGAGATAAAGTATACAGGGATACAGTATACAGAGATACAGGGATACAGTATACAGAGATACAGTATACAGAGATACATTATACAGGGATACAGTATACAGATATACAGTATACAGGGATACAGTATACAGAGATACAGTATACAGGGATACAGTATACAGAGATTCAGTATACAGAGATTCAGTATACAGAGATACAGTATACAGGGATACAGGAATACAGTAAACAGAGATACAGTATACAGAGATACATTATACAGGGATACAGTATACAGATATACAGTATACAGAGATACGGTATACAGAGATAAAGTATACAGGGATACAGTATACAGAGATATGGTATACAGAGATACATTATACAGAGATACAGTATACAGTATACAGAGATACAGTATACAGAGATACAGCATACATGGATACAGCATACGGTATATAGAGACACAGTACATAGAGATACAGCATACATGGATACAGTATACAGGGATACAGTAAACAGAGATACGGTTTACAGGGATACAGTATACAGAGATACATTATACATGGATACAGTATACAGAGATACATTATACAGAGATACAGTATACAGAGATACAGTATACAGGGATACAGTATACAGAGAAACAGTATACAGAGATACATTATACAGGGATACAGTATACAGAGATACATTATACAGGGATACAGAGATACAGTATACAGCATACAGGGATACAGCATACTGTATATAGAGATACAGTATACAGAGATACAGTATACAGAGATTAAGTATACAGATTTACGGTATACAGGGATACATTATACAGAGATACAGTATACAGAGATACAGTATACAGAGATACGGTATACAGGGATACAGTATACATAGATACAGTATACAGAGATACAGTATACAGAGATACAGTATACAGAGATACAGTATACAGGGATCCTTCATGGTTTTCGTGCGAGATAAACGTAAAACACACACGTACACACATGTGACTGCACCTTTAGAATTAGGAAACTGAGATGAAGATATAATTGAAATACAAGAAGCTGGTGATACAGTTTAGGCATTTAATGTATACATCTTTCAAAAATTAGTATTTATATTAAAATCTGAACATATTATACACAGTATTGACCGACATTTAAATTTACATGTATATGGATATCCTATTCAATTTTACCGCCAATCAATAAATGATCTTAGAGTGTTCATGCAAATATTCAAGGATTTTTTTACTTCATTTCGTTTATGTGAACACAAGCTGGAGCTAGCCATGGGGCGTCTCAAAAGTATACCAAGAGACCAGAAACTCTGTAAAAAATGTGGTGTGTTAGAAAATGAAGTACACTTCACTGTTCCCTTAATGAATCTGCCAGGAAAGAATATTTCCAAAAATGCATTCCTAATCGCAATGATGTACCTTAGATACCAATTATTTGACCTCAATATTATCTACAAACAACTCACAGTTTATACTGGACCCTTGCTCATTCATTAAACAGTCTCTAGAACTGAGGAGAGTGGGCTTGCTGACAGTATAAGGTATGGAATTTGCAGCTAAAATTGTTTAAATCAAATTTTCTATTTAAAGCTATGTTAATTTTGTTCATGTTAACGTATATTAGAACATGTACATGTTTATGTATGTATTTCACTGTGTTTTTCTATTTTGCCTTCAAACTACTTTGAGTTACAAATGTGCAAATAAAAAAAAATGAATTTGAATTTTTGAGTATTTTACACCAAAAGTTCATCTTTCAGATGTTTTGTATTTATATGTACAATGTAATGTGGTGTGACTTTAACAATCTTTATAAATTCCTCCAGATGTATGACATAACTTCTCAGTACCGTATACCCACGGTTGAATTCACTTCATCAACCGTGGGTATCCGACGATACCTCAGTACATGATTTCACGTCTCTGATATTTACTCAACTAACCATTATACTCTGTACGATAATTTTTCAGTGTGGGAATTTTGTTAAGAAGTTCTATAATAGAGGATGTGGAGTTAATTCATGACGAATCACATTAAATCAACAATGACAATGACAATTGTTTTATTCTCATAAACAAAGTGTAGAGAATACATATATACAAATGGGTGGCAATAATACATGGTGGAACAGGATGGACATTAGTATTGTAAATTAATTATGTCATTAATATTGGTAATAAATTTAGCCAATGATGTCAATTCATGTTGTGTTACATAATTGAATAATGTATGATATTTAAATGTGTTTGGTCTTTCATAATAATATCTGGACATATGTTTTCGCCTACTATTGAGAATTGGTTGATGTGTACATGTAAACAGATAATGAAATTCGTCGCCAATTTCTCTTAAATAACATAAACTACATAATCTATTT